GCTTGGTGTGAAATGCATCAAAGTGTCAGTAAGTCTCTCTTGATCTGTAGAAATTGTTCACCACAGCAAAATAAACTTTGCAAGTGGTTGGGTATCTCATTCTCAATGTTTTCCTCAGATCTTTAATTCACAGTTCATTTATCTTCCTGGAAGACTTTGTTTCTGAGGGAGGAATGGATGAAACTCCATCAGTCTTTGAGCTGTTGATGTGCATTTTCTTCCGCTGGCAAAAATGATACTTAGCTGGGATATCAGAATGAGGGATCACTAGAGCCTCTTTTTAAACACAGTCAGCCAATCTTTTTCTGATGGTGGTCAAAAAGAGACTAAGAAGCACTATGGAGAGGTGAATCTGAAACATACAATTTTGAGGAAGGAAGTCGGTTTTTTAAAACTGACATTAGTAAAAGAAACATACAAGTTGATCAGCTTTGTGTGTTATTTATTCCCCTAAATGTGAAAAGTTGTCCCGTTTGGGTTCTGAATTTCTGTAGCTTGCTTTTGGGAAGGATTATAACCTCAATTCGTATCTCTGGATTTATCCAGAACAAAGCATATATACCAATGGGAGTCACTGAGAGTGACTTGGGCAGCCACATAACTCTTCTTAAATAAATGCTATATATTAATACAAAGGAATAGTTGTTTGCGATTAGACTGTCTAGAAAACCAGTGAAAAATTAGAGGCAGAGTTAATTAAAAGAAGCGATAGGGAAGCTGCATGGTTTAGCTGTTTATTAAAGTTTTGCTGCTTATGAATATACTTCCTCTAGAACTTACGTATCATGTGCATAAAATTAAAGACCAGCAGTGGGAACTGGAATTCTCTAATGCTTTCAGAGGAAATGATTTCTTCTCTTCCCCTCTTCCTCTTTTTCAAATTACCATATTTATTAGCATGATCCTTACATTAGAGAGATTCTTCTTCTTAGATTAAACTGCTGGCACAGCTTCCTTGTGCATAATTCTAAAAGCTACCAGTGCTAATCAATTAAGATTGCATTGAAAGGAGTTCTTTATGGAAATATTCCCCCTTCTCTGCCAGAATATAAATGAACGCAAAACCATCCCACAATGTTTTTTGTTGTCGTTTTGAGTCGTTCAGTGATGCTACATGCTAGCTTTCCTACTAAAAATGTTCAAGATGATTAGGATATCGATAGAAGGCAATTATCTCTTGTAGCTCTCATGCTTTGGATCCTAAATGTAAGGTAGATAGCATCCTATAGGTATTCCAAGAGGCAGCTCTAGTGTTAGGACCAACAAGGCAGGGGAAAAAGCAAAGATTTGGAAGGATATGGAAAGAAGGAAGTGGACCACTTTGTCTCTGATAGTTCAGAGAACTTCACATTATCAATATTATAGTACCAATAGAAGAGAATATTTGTAACTCAGGGTTGAACTGTGAGGTCCTTGGGGTTCTCTGTGCTTGGTGGTTTTCTTGCGCTTATGACTTATCACTTTTCTTCCTTGTAATAGAGGAAGAAATTGATCGTCGAGATCATCCTAAAATCAACCATCTTTGACTTATAGGAAATGTTAATGATTTTGCAATCCATGATGGTAAATAGAGCTGTTGGGCTAGAGTTCCTGCAGTGATTGAAGCTTGAACCTCAGACTCTTGCTTTCATAACTCTCTACCCATTTGATAAAGTCATCGTTTGTTTTGTCTTTTGTTTAGGGTATCTTCCCATCTACCTACATTTATCTCAAGGAGGCGACGGTGCAAGATGGTGGGTGAGTAGCCAAGATCATTTTTTTTCATTTTCAACAAAAATTCTGGAGTTCTGGGTTTTTGGAGTTGCAAAGATTCCATTCTGTGAATCAAGTTTTTGGAGTTGCAAAGATTCCATTCTGTGAATCAAGTTCTGCAAACAGTTCTCTGCATTATTTCTTAGGGTATTCACAAGTTTTGTTTATACAGAATAGTTGAGAACTGATATGAAATAGTGCCTAGGAGGTGGAGAGGTAAGGCTGAAGAAGGCTTCCTTTTGATAGCCCCAGACCACATCCAGAATGAGTCAAGTTAAACTTTGGGAACTTTTTAAAGCAATAATTGATGAATATTAATAAATAAGACATGCCTAATACAGTATGTGGATAGATGGATGGATGGATGGATGGATAGATAGATAGATAGATAGATAGATAGATAGATAGATAGATAGATAGATAGATAGATAGATAGATAGATAGATAGATAGATAGATAGATAGATAGATAGATAGATAGATAGATAGATAGATAGATACAAATATAGATAGATATAGATGTAAATCTAGTAAGTCATAAAAATAGTTTGTTGGGTAGACCTTAAATGACCAACAAGAATTTCAATCACTTTTCCATAGACAAAATGAGACAGTAATTCCTAGTGAACTTCCATTGGTCCAAGAACTCACTTCTACTTTGCGAGAATGGGTAGTCATCTGGCATAGGCTTTATGTGGTAAGTACGAATTCTCTCTATTGGGCCACCATAAGCTCTCTCCCAAAACAAATAACAGGTTCAGCTGGGTGAGCTTTATTGGCTATTATAAGCATAGGAACAATTCTGGAAACCATAAAGAAACCTATTGGAGTGGTCACATTTTTATTTATGTCCCGCCTTTCCTTCAGAAACTCAAGCTGGGCATACATAGTTCTACGTCCATGTTTTTCCTTTAACAGCCCTGCAAGGTGAACAATGCTGGCTGGAAGTAAACTTGGTTTGCTTATATCTTCCTGCCTTTTCAATTTATCTTCGACATTCTTGGTATACTTGGTATACTTCCATCAAAGTGGAATGTCGAAGATAAATTGAAAAGGTAGGAAGATATAACCAAATACAACCTATTCAATGATCTAATATCTAGGTGATTCATTTGGATTTAGTCTAAGCCTTTGAGAAATGAAAAAGTGGAGGACTATGAATTTCCTGTGGGGTCCTTTATGCTCTTTGAGCTTGGTTGTTTTCTTGCAAATGTTTCATTACCCAACTAGGTAACATCATCAGTGTCAGAAGATGGGTAATTCTCCACTCATATACAAATGACTTGTCCTATCAGTGTTGGTGAGAGTGTTCTTGGTGGTTCCTTGATTAGGGAACAGTTGTTTACTGTTTGTTGATTGTCTGAGGTGATAGTTCCTTCATTGGGGTACTGTTTGATTGTTGGTCTCGTATTAATCCTGGTGTTAAACTGCTTATCTGGGTGTTGATTTCTGGCATCTGCAAAAAAAAAATGAACTTAGAGAGCGCCAACAACCCCATAGTTCCACCCTGAGCTACATATATTCTCTTCTGTTGGTATGAGTTTCCTGTTGATACAGAATGGCTTTGTTGTGTTGTTTAATTTTCTGTTTCTCATTTCTCATCTGCTCTAGGAGAACAAAAGCTCCCTCTTTCGCCATGTACAACAGATGACCTATAGTCTGATTGAATGGCGATCCCAGATCCTATCAGGCACTCTTCCCAAGGATGAGTTGGCTGAACTCAAGAAGAAAGTCACAGCCAAAATCGATTATGGCAACAGGTAACATGGGCTGTCTTTTTCAGGCTTCAGTCACATCCTCAGAATGAACAATCAAATGGGTGTGGAGCCTTCTTGGAACTGCCGCAAGGGCTGTGTTGTAAACAGGAGAGAGGTGGTGTCGTATCCCCCCCTCTGTTCAATTTTAACATAGATGGCCTCTTTGACCCCTCTTTCAAACCAGCGGTCCTAACCAGTGGTCCTCTCTGTCCAGAATGTGGACTTTGTGCTGTCTTCAATAGAGTAGCCTTTATCTTTGTCTTTCAAATGCAGATAGACTGCTGAATTTTGTTCTGATGGGTTTGTTCTCCTATGTTGTTCTTCTATGTCTCCTCTTTGCTCTTGATTACCTCCTTGTTTTTCTGGATTATTGCAAGGATTTTGGGACTGGATCTAGTGGTACGAGATGATAATGGGAACATCTTGGATCCAGATGTTACCAGCATGATTTCACTCTTTAAAGCACATGAGACAGCATCCAAAAGAATCGACGACAGGATCCAAGAAGAAAAGGTATGGTTTTTAGTATATTGTTTCCTGATCAGGAAGCTGGCTAGAAATAACTTTACACAATAATGGAACCCAAAAGTGGTATAAAATGATGTGGCTGTTGTGTGGTGAGGCTATGCATCAACAAATAGAACTTGTACTTCCTTCTCAACATTTCAGTATCAGTGCAATCGATAATTGCTGTGCTTTTTTTTGGGAGATGGTGAGCAGCCTTTATTTTTGCCTAGGATTAACCTGGAAATTTTACAACAACTTTCTTTTTAAGGGGACAAGAACTGAAACCACCTTCTGGGCCTAAATGATCATTTCACCAGTGGCAGTCCTTTGAAGGAGTTCCTTAGGTGAAAAAGAGATCCATTGCTTTATCTGGAGTGGAGTCTAAAGGCTGAACTCTTATATAGTGGAGAATTACATGCTGAATATGCATTCACCAATGGTAGAGAAAAGATTAACTTCCTCAGATTTTCCCTGTTGTACAACCATCTTCCTGAGTCCTGTTGAACCCTGATTGCTGGTTTATTTCAGTCTTTAACCTGTTCTGTAGACTTGATTTGAAGCCCAGCAGATTTAATTCATCAAACAGCCAAAGGGAAATTCTGATATTTGCTTCAGAAGCATGTTGCAAGCATGAACAAGAGAGAGCTGTGTTTAAAGCATGTTAATAGAATAAGCATGCTATTTAAGCATTGCTAATAACCCATGAAAGAAAGTTTAATCACTGTGCTGTGCTGTGACGAGATAAAAACATTGTTTCTGGGAGTTTTGTTTGATTAACTTCTTGATTTAAATTTACAGGTAGAACAATATTTTGGAAGGGGAAAGTGTATACTTAGAAACATATCCTTCCTTCCTTCCTTTTTTTTTAAAAAAAAAATTTGTCCGATAATTGACATGATTGACATGTGTTTATCTCAAACATGTTTAAACTCAGTTACTGATGTTTGACTCATTACACCCACTGGAAGTTGGTTCCAAGCTTCCATTACTGCTTTCTAACCCTACTTTTGAACATCCCATTTACATTATGGTTGATATGATTTGGTGCCTGGCATCATCTTAGAACTGAGAAAAGAGAGTCTCTCTTTATAAGATGATGCTTGCTAGCTCCAGCTTTTATAAGTAGAATTTGAACTGTAAGCCACCCAGAGCCATTGGGTTGAGTTGGGTGGTTATAGAAATTGATTGATTGAATGAATGAATAAATGAATGAATGAAATAAAATGCATTGACTACTGAATGTATGAGTGTGTGTTCAGATAATTGGATGCTTCTTTTAGTTGATCACATAATTCATTTAATCACAGCCTTGATTCTGCATACATGTTGCCATGGTGTGTGAGCATGCCACACTTTCAGTTTTAAGGAAACTAAATATAGGCAGGGAAAATAAACAGTTTTATTGGATAATTCAGCACATTCTGACTTCTCCTTTAATCTCTTCTTCCCAAAACAAGTCTCTTCAACAGAACGTAGATCTACGAGGACAGTCTATCTTTAATACAACTCACACTTACAGCCTCTACATCAATTTCAAGAATTTTGTCTGCAATATTGGCGAGGATGCAGAGCTGCTTATGAGCCTTTATGATCCAGACCAATCCAAATTTATTAGGTATGTTGTTAGTGGAATATTATTTCTAAAACATCTCTTAGAGTATGTTAGTTGTATGTTGCAGTATGTTAGCTGCAATCAGCAAGATCTATTAAGACTTTATTGCTTGACAATACAGGTAATCCTCAATTTACAACCACAATTGAGCCCAATGTTTCTCTTGCTAAGCAAGACAGTTGTTAAATGAATTTTTCCCCAATGTTTCTTGCCACAGTTGTTAAATGAATCACTGCAGTTGTTGAGTGGGTAACATGTTTGTTAAATGAATCTGGCTTCCCCATTGACTTTGCTTGTCAGAAGATCACAAAAGGGGATCACATTGCAGCCGTCATAAATATGAGTCAGTTGCCAAGCATCTGAATTTTGATCGTTAAGTATGAAAAATGAATAAGTCCCTTTTTCCAGTGCCGTTGTAACTTTGAACGGTCACTAAATGAACTATTGTAAGTCGATGACTACCTGTATCCCATGCAGGCCTGTTATGAAGATGAAAGGCTGATTTTTAGTTTGAAGAAAACAAACTTTCCTTTGTCTTTAAAAACCCTGTGGCTTAGTCACTGCAATTGAATAAAATTAATTCAATTTTATTTTGTTGCAAACAATATACAAGTGCTTTAGAACGATCTCTTCTATCAGTTTTCCCTTTGCTGATCTTCTTCGTGAGCAAAAAAAAAAAAAAAGTCTCAAACACTGTAATTTCTGTTTAGGGTAATTCTTCATGCCTTTATTTTCTTTCTCTCTCTTTTTTTTTTTCTTTTGGACATTGGCTCATAATATGTTGCAATTTAGAATCAAAAGGACTTCCTTGTTTTATTTCTATAAATGCCAAAGCACCTGAAAGTCTGTTTCCTTTTGACATTCAGCTTGGACATAAAATTGCCTTGGCATTGTTTTAATGCTGGGCAAAGTGATTTGCATGTCCTGAATAGAATACCTATTGTCCATTATTATGGTTCATCACACAGTCAGCCAGATGTTCAGATTGGATTTGCCAGTTTTGTCCACCTATTATTATGGTTCATCACACAGTCAGCCAGATGTTCAGACTGGATTTGCCAGTTTAGTCCACGTATTGAGTCTTTGCCAAGAACCTGGGACAGGCAGATGCAGATGTTTGATGGACCAGTGGTGATTTTTGTCAATGCCAATGGTGCTCCAGTTCTTTTGGGATTGCACCTATTACTCTTTGCAATATTAAAAGTACTACCTTTGCTTTCTTTTGCCACAGTTGTTCTATTTCTATTTGCAGGTCTTTTATTATTGTATTATTATCATTATTATTTTAGTGAAAACTACCTGGTTCGTTGGGGAAGTAATGGAATGCCGAAGGAAATTGAAAAGCTTAACAACCTTCAGGCTGTCTTTACGGTAATTTTTCTCTTTGCCCTCTGGGTTCTATCTACTGGCAGATTTTTATAACTCTGTTCCTTTGATACCTTTGTTGTGATAGCGTCATTGGGCAAGGAGCCATGCTGTGAATGGGAAGGGTCAACATAATCTATTTCATTGTCTAACAAGCACAATGGTTTGGAAAGATGTCTCGGGTTTATCTCTGTAACAAAGCCAACTAACTTTTTTTTAAAAGGTCATTTTGACATCCATCCTATACCTGGCTGCTTTGATTATCAGCCACACCTTGGATAAGAGCTTTTCCCAACTAGACAGCATGATCTCTGACTTTAGTGTGTTCCTTACTGTGTACTGTATCTCAGGGTTTTCCAAAATGGCTAATACCGAATCCCAAAAAAGTCAATTGGATTATACCACTGTTGTTATTCAAAGTACTTTCAGTTAAAGTGGCATTTATTAAATATGTTTTCATGTAATAAATCTTTGGGAGTTGATGAACAATCAGAATATTCATGAAGGGGCTGATGAGCAGACGAGTTTTGGTACCCCTGGCATATGTGCTGGGATATTTGGTCTGTTTTGTTCGCTAGTCTTTGAATTTTGGGGAGAAAAGCTTACCAAAGACCTTGAAGCACCGCCCTCAGTGGTAGCCAATAATGCTTAAAATAAGGTTTGGAAAATGTAGTCACTTTAAAAGCTGGTATGTACAGGAATGTAACCATTAGGCAAGGTTCTGCATTCTGGAATTAGTTTTATTGACCACACCAACAGTGGTGGCTATTGAGCATTCTTCACATCTTGTCCAAATAATGCAATCTTCTCTAGAGGGAAAAAAAGAGATTACAGGTAGTCCTTGACTTACAACAGTCCGTTTAGTGAGCATTCGAAGTTTCAGCAGCAGTGAAAAGCAGTGACTTATGATCATTTTTCACACTTGCGACTGTTGCAGCCTCCCCACGGTCACGCGATCAAAATGCAGACACTTGGCAACTGACTCCCATTTATGACGGGTTGCAGTGTCCTGTGATTCCCGTTTGCGACCTTCTGACAAGCAAAATCCATGGGGAAACCAAGATCACATAACATCCATATTACAAACTTAAGAACTGTAGGGATTAGCTTAACAACCATGGTCAGAAAAGTCATAAAATGGGACAAAACTCATTTCACAAATGTCTCTCTTAGCAGCAGAAATTTTGGGCTCAGTTGTGGCCGTAAGTTGAGAGCTACCTGTACCAATTTAGCCCAATTTATTTGGGGCATCTTGGCAACAAAGACTACCCCCACACACACGGTCAGCTCACCCCAACTTCTTTCCATCCGTTGAGCCACGGGGGAATTGATATTGCTTCACAATTGCTGGAATGATGTCCGTTCATGTTTGCAATTTCACTTTGGCAGAAAGTCCAAGAGACAGAGATATTTCCGCAGCAGCAAGCAAGAGGAGTGAATTTACCTAATCCAGCCAACAGAGATGGCAAACATGAAGTAAAAGCTGGTTCTGCTGATTCATTTCCCCTTGGCACAAAAATAACTCCTTGCATAAATTTTGACTATTTGAACACTCCTAATAAAAATTGGCATAAGAGCCCTTTTGGCATGATGGTTAAGGCAGCAGTCTAAAAAGTGGGACACCAGAAGTACTAGCTGGGTGACAAAACTAGCTGGGTGACCTGGAATACTGCAGCCAATTTTGGTCACCATATCACAAAAAAGATGTTGAGAGTTTAGAAAAAATTCAGAGAAGAGCAACTAAGATGATCAAAGCCCTGGAGGTTAAAACATACGAAGAATGGCTGCGGGACTTGGGTTTGGCTAATCTAGAGAAAAGAAGAAATAGGGGAGACATGATAGCAGTGTTTCAGTATCTGAGGGGCTGCCACAGGGCAGAGGGGGGTCAGGTTGTTCACCAGAGCACCAGATGGAAGGATGAGAAACAATGGTTGGAAACTGATCCTAGGAGAGAAACAACCTGGAATTAAGGAAAAACTTCCTGACAGTGAGGACAATCAACCTGTGGAACAGCTTACCCCCAGAAATCGTGGGCGCCTCATAACTGGAGATCTTTAAGAAAAGACTGGACAATCACCTGTCTGAAATGGTGTAGGTTCTCCTGTTTAAGTGGGGGGCTGGACTAGAAGACCTCCAAGGTCTCTTCCAGCTCTATTCTATATATGATAGAGATAGATAGATAGATAGATAGATAGATAGATAGATAGATAGATAGATAGATGGATGGATGGATGGATGGATGGATGGATGGATGGATGGATGGATGGATGGATGGATGGATGGATGGATGGATGGATGGAGAGGGGGAGAGGGAGAGAGAGAGAGAGAGAGAGAGAGAGAGATGGATGATAGATGATGATAGATGATAGATAGATAGATGATAGATAGATAGATAGATAAATAGATAGATAGATAGATAGATAGATAGATAGATAGATAGATAGATAGATAGATAGATAGATAGATAGATAGATAATACTCTCTCTATATATAAGAGAACCAGTTTGATCTAGTGATAAAGGCACCAGGCTAGAAAGCAGGAGACGGTGAGTTCTAGTCCCGCCTTATTAATGAAAGCCAGTTGGGTGACTTTGAGACTTTCTCCACCCAACTCACCTCACAGAGTTTTTGTTGTGGGGAAAAGAAGAGGAGGAAAGAGTGTTGGGTATGTTCGCTGCCTTGAGTTATTTATAACAATAATAAAGGGATATAAATAAATAAGGGATATTCTTTTCCACTTGTTCATAGTCCAATTCAATATGTCCCAAGTGGTTTTTTTGCGTCAGTGATTGTTTCTGTTGTCCCACCAGGATCTCAGCAGTTCTGACTTGATCCGGCCTCGGGTCAGCCTGGTGTGTCAAATAGTCCGAGTTGGCCACATGGAGTTGAAAGAGGGCAAGAAGCATACTTGTGGCCTCCGGAGACCTTTTGGAGTAGCAGGTACAAAGGCTGGTTGTTGGCTTCTTCCTTTCAAGAAATGTGTGTACTGGAAAATAGCAATTGGAAGTCCTGGGTTCAGTTCTTCAGCTGGCCATTGGCATGCTGAGGTCCAAGGCAATAAGAAGATGAAGGCCCTTTCTCTACTGCAGAGTTGAAGTGGTCTTCATCATCCTTGATCCATCAGGAAACAACAGTGACATGAAATGGGCTGTGCCTGTCTTGCTTCTGATTTACCTGTTGCCCATCGTTGCTCATCTGAATTTCCCTCAAGGAAGGGAAGACAAAGATAGTTTTGGGGCACTTTGAGGTGGCTTTTAGATGATACCAGAAGTGGGGGGGAAATACTATTTTGGCCCTGGTGTGTATAAGGACAACTTAAAGTTGCCTTCCTCGTGATCTGTGGGTGAGATCATGAGGACATGGCCAGGGTTTAAAAAATGTATTTAGGTTAAGTAAGCAAGTTACTGCTATCCTAATAGCTGTTATTTCCTATGTCCTCTAAAACAGGGCTCTCCAATCTTGGCAACTTTTAAGACTTATGGACTTCAGTTCCCAGAATTCCCCAGCCATGCTGGCTGGGGAATTCTGGGAACTGAAGTCCACAAGTCTCAAAATTGCCAAGGCTGAAGACCCCTGTCCTAAAAGTATTTTCTGGGCCAAAAAAGAGATATAGTGTAAGCAGGAACCTATTTTGTAAAGTCATTCCAAATATAAATGTGGTAGTATGCCTGTAATAAATTAAAAGACGTTAAGTCATTGTTCCATAATACTTTGTTCTAAATCTTTCACGCCAAGAGAAGACCTTGAATTGAAGGTCTTCAGATCATCTGAATCTATCTTTTTTGTAACTGACCAAGAGAACAGATCAATTTTTGTGGAGGTTGTCTTTTGGTTTGGTTTTTCTGTTCTCCATGTAAAGTTGCTACTGTGAGATTAGTGGCCAGATTAATCATTTAAATAAAAAAGGAAGGAACCAACCAACCAACCAACCAGTAGGGCATGCTCAATACTTTGTGTAAATTATTTCCAAAGCACTTCATAGGTAGTTATATCTGTCTGCATGATTGATAGATGTTCAACCAACCAATGTTTCCTGAGTTTGGTTTAAGTCTTGGTTTCAACTAGCTTTTGTGATCTTACACACATTAGAGCTTTAGAATTCCTAGCCAACATGGCCTTTGATAATGTTGATGGGATTTCTGGAAATTGATGAACCAGTACATATGGAAGGCTTGAGTTTTCACAGGTTTGAAATTTATACAAAAAGTTCCCAACCTATGAAGACATTTTTGCTGCAATCAGTAAAAGCCTATTTTTTCCCCTTAGTGATGGACATTACAGATATCATCCACGGGAAGGTAGATGATGAAGAGAAGCAACATTTTGTTCCCTTTCAGCAGTAAGTAGTTAAAGTTCTAAAAAAAAAAGAATGCACAATTTTGGGGGAGCTCGTGGTCATGTATATATGCCTTCCAGAAAGTGGACAGGTCCAAGACAAAGCAGTGGGATAAGCTAAGGCAACATCTGTAAATTAAATTGAAGCAGTGAACGTGATTTATCAGAAGTGATTTCAGTGAGCTTCTTGCACAGGTCTATACAAAGTCACTTCCTTAATTGATTGGAATTACATTTGATCAGAATTCTCAGCATGGAAAGAGCTGTACTTTAGTATTCAGACCAGCATGCATACAACTCATGTTTAGACCTTCTCTGCATTGGATAGGACTAAAATAAAGAGAGATAAAATAATGCAGGGGTTGCATGTGCAGAGACACAGGAAGTGGCACACAAGTAGTTACAGCTCTGTCCCTACCCCCAGTATGGTTTTCACCCTCATCCATTCACATGAATGAACAAATTATGTTTGTTATGAGACCAGAATTTTTGCCCATCAGCTTGAAGTCAACAGAGATCTACCAGCTATTCCTATTCTACTTCATTCGGTCCCTTCAGCATTTGAATTATGTATGTATGTATGTATGTATGTATGTATGTATGTATGTATGTATGTATGGATGGATGTATGTATGGATGGATGGATGGATGGATGGATGGATGGATGGATGGATGGTGTGCCATCAATTCATTGTTTTACTCTAAGTGACCACATTGATTGGGTCAGACAAGAAGATCTGTTCCGAATCTGGTATTTCAGATCTTCCTCCTGTAAGAAGAATCTTCTTATTTTTTTATTCATAATCTAATAATGTTGACAATCTGGAAATGTACCTCTTCTTTTTCTCCTTTCCTCTTTCCTCTTCAGGATTGCCATGGAAACATACATCAGGCAACGGCAGTTAATCATGGCACCTTTAATAACCTCTCACGTGATTGGAGAGAATGAGCCCCTCACATCAGTCTTCAACAAAGTTATTGCAGCCAAGGAAGTGAATCATAAAGGGCAAGGTACACACTGGAAAGATAGCTCCTGGAAGCATTGGGAAGAGGGGAGGGAGGGAGGGAGGGGCAGAAGGAAGGAGAGACATTCCTTTGAGGTGAAAACTCATTCATGGTTTTGGATGGTTCACTGGTCAAGGACATTGGCATGGGCTCCTTCCTGCAAGGCTGCTCAGAAAATCTTTCATCTATTTGATTCAGGTTTCCTGATAAATGGGGAGAGCCAGACAAATTTAGCTGGTACACTGATGGTGTGTAGGTAACAAACTACAATAAAATTATGTTAGTGGGCACTTGCAAGAGGGGTTGGAAGTGTGGCATGAAAGAAACAATGCTCTCAAAGGAATAAAAATGGGAAAAGAGATCCCTAAATCAATCTGGCTTGGTATGAGCAAGAAGGGCAAAAAAAAAATGCCACTAAATCCCCAAAATAAAACATGGAGGAGCCTGCCTGCTTAGGTATGTTGCCATCCTGTAAAGTTCAACATCTACCAACTCGGTGTTTCTCATACTGGCTCTCTTCTGTGCGTAGATTATGCTGTTTGTGATACGTAAACACTCATTTTCATCTTTGTACTGTACTTTGAAAATCCTAAGAACAATCATTAAGTACAGACCCCATTGGAACCATTTTCAAACTACAGGACTGAATTTGTTGATGAGGTTAAAAAAAAAAAGGTCAAATCATGCCCTGTGAAAATTGCCACGCTCCTCCTAAAACATTTGCAAATAGGTTGCACACGTGTGCTGGGAACGCCTTAAACACCACACTATTTTTTTATAGAAACAACCCCAGTGCTTATTATTCTCCCCAAAGTGGAAATGGAAGAATAAAGCTCTAATAAACAAAAAAAAGACTTCCCTGTTTTAACCTGCCACTCACTTGGGAGATCACAATTCTCTTTCCTTATCAAATCTGCAAGGATTGCCACTTTTTTTCCCAATAGCACTAATGCTGCTTTTTGTTATATTCTTTGCTCTCCAACCCCATTTAGGCCTCTGGGTTTCTCTGAAACTGCTGCCTGGTGATTTAGCTCAGGTTCAGAAGGATTTTTCCCATCTCATTGACAGATCAACAGCTGTTGCCCGCAAAATGGGATTCCCAGAGATTATATTGCCTGGTGAGTAATTTTGCATCAAGGAAGGAGAAGAATGAGATTACATCTTTTTTTTTGGGGGGGGGGGAGGAATAATTGAGTTCAGATGTCCTCCAAATGGTGGGCAATTCCCGGAGAAAAGAGTAAGACTGTATTCTAATTGTGAGATCCTTGGTGCTCTCTGAGTTTGGTGGTTTCCTTGCCAGTGTTTCATTACCAACTTCAGGTAACATCTGAAGTTTTAGAAGGCTTCAAGCACTTGTGAAGTTACCTAGTTTGGTAATGAAACATCTGCAAAGAAACCACAAGCTAAGAGAGTACTAAGAACCTCACAGTTCAACCCTGATCTACAAATATGATTTTCTATCTGTATTCTAATGTCCAAGTCGGACAAAATAATGTTCTTATAATTCTGTTTTAATTGCAGGTGAGGTTCGGAATGATATCTACGTCACTCTGTTGAATGGAGAGTTTGACAAAGGGAAAAAGAAGACTCCTAAGAATGTTGAGGTTACCATGTCTGTTCATGATGAAGATGGAAACATTTTAGAGGTAGGAAGGGGTTTCCAGAATAGTAAGTTGGAGATAAACCAAAGAAAATCATAGATGTTCTGTACCTCTACCCAAACGACTTTCCAGAAAGCCCTTCCAATCCTTGTGACCATCTACAAAATCCTTAAAATGTGGATTTTTCAGCAGGCCTGGGATGGTCTGGTAACAGACACCCTGTGCACTGGCTGAATCATGTATAATATTCTGATGCATTCCCTCTTGTGATCTTTGTTATTTCTATTTATCTGTGCCTTGTAGAATGTTTTCATTGTTGGTTTTATTGTATGCTGCCCAGAGTCACTTTGTGTGAGACAGGTGGTCATATAAATTAGACAAACAAATGAACAAAAAGAAATATTGTGCAGGAACTAATGCAAGCGGATGCTTTGATCAACAGATGGATCATCTAATAAAATACTTTCACTCACAGAATGCATGCTTTAAATCTTGTTTCTCCCACCCCTGCATAATCTCTGGTGTACGGACTTGAGTTCATTACCTTAGCAGCTTGTGATTTTTTTTCTTCCCCCTGTTTGTAGCTGCATTCGAAATAATAAGCACCAATAAAACAGGTGAAAATTAACATGCTGTCATTTCTGTATAACATATATTAGTTTTGATGGAAGACAACCTTCAGAGGTTGAATTTTGTGGGGTCCTTGGTGCTCTCTGAGCTTGGTGGTTTTCTTGCAGACATTTCATTATTCAACTAGATAACATCATCATACTTAGTTTAGTAATGAAATGTCTGCAAGAAAACCACCAAGCACAGAGAGCACCAAGAACCCTATACATTAGTTTGAAAGGACTTAGAAAATTTGTGGAATATTTTGGCCCTCTTTGGAAGTTATGTGAAAAGTAATTTTATAACTGAATGTTTTTCTCTCCCATTATTGATTAAGTCTCATCTTCTGTCATTTGTTCCTTTTGCTTTTTGTTTTGGATATACTCCAAAGAAAGCTATCCATCCAGGTGCTGGTTATGAAGGTATTTCAGAATACAAATCAGTTGTCTACTACCAAGTCAAGCAACCTTGCTGGTATGAAACTGTAAAGGTGAGATTATCTAATGGGAAATTGATTTGGTTAGGATACTGTACATCCTTGTGTTGTTACAGAGGTGAGATATATGTCTCATATACAGTTAGCAACTTCACTTATCATAACATGGGTTCTTGTGCAGCTAAACAAACAACATTTAGAGGTAAGAAGGGCTTGGGGGAGTCCAAATATTTGGAAAAATACAACGAAGTCTTTTAAACCAAATATAAAAGAGAGAGAAGCAGCTTGCAAGCATGTTCAGTAGCCATTGGAACATTAATTGGTTAAAAAAGTGATTTGTTTTTTTTTTTCTACTGTGGTAAAATTAATTCTCCCTAAGTTGGTCTTCTGTTTATATCCCATAAGTTTTGTAATGGAAGAAAAAGTGTGTCCTGAATTCTTGTTGTTTTTATGACTAAAAAATGATTGTGGTCAAGTCATTTCTTTGTTAATTGCGAAGTCGTGTCCGACCCATCGCAACCCCATGGACAACATTCCTCCAGGCCTTCCTGTCCTCTACCATCTTCCGGAGTCCATTTAAGCTCACGCCTCCTGCTTCAGTGACTCCATCCAGCCACCTCATTCTCTGTCGTCCCCTTCTTCTATTGCCTTCAATCTTTCCCAGCATTAGGCCCTTCTCCAGTGAGTCCTTCCTTCTCATTAGGTGGCCAAAGTATTTGAGTTTCAACTTCAGGATCTGGCCTTCTAAAGAGCAGTCAGGGTTGATCTCTTCTAGGACTGACCGCTTTGATCGCCTTGCAGTCCAGGGGACTCGCAGGAGTCTTCTCCAGCACCATAGTTCAAAGGCCTCAATTCTTTGTCGCTCAGCCTTTCTTATGGTCCAACTTTCACATCCATACATTGCAACTGGGAAAACCATGGCCTTGACTATACGCACTTTTGTTGGCAGGGTGATATCTCTGCTTTTTAGTATGCTGTCTAGATTTGCCATAGCTTTCCAATTATTATTTATTTTCTTACAACATACAGGTCTCCATAGAAATAAAAGAAGTTGGTCGCTATCATTTAAGATTTACTTTCCGTCACCGTTCATCACAGGAATGTAAGCATGAAACAATGACAATGTCTTTTTGATTTAGTAGCACAAAAGGGTTTGGAGGGAAGGAAAAAGGGAAGAATAGATTATGGATTTGGATTATTTTTTACCTTCCCACTCCAAATTGTACTTTTCTGAACCATTTGTTTGCAAATGTTTATGGAAATTCTCAGTCATCCAGGTCATGGTTGCCTCAAAGATGGTTTTCCAAAAGGCAACTAGACTTTCGTGGGTTTTTTTTTCCTTGAAAATATTTTGCTTCTTATCCAAGGAGCTTCTTTAATTCTGAGAACTGAAGAAGCTTCTTGGATGAGAAGCAAAACATTTTCAAGGGGAAAAAAGGAAGTCCAGTTGCCTTTTGGAAAAGCACCTTTGGGACATTCATTTACAAAGAAACTCTTTATTTAACTAATTTGGCTCCCTGTGTGTGCCCAACTGTATTAAATCCTGAGATGATGTCAGCACCTCTTTTAAAAAAAGCAAATCAAATCTTGTTGTATCTCACTTTTGATTAAAAGAAGAAAATTGCAGTTTCCAAACACTTATGGTGTGAAATTGCGTTTGGCTGTTCTTTTGGAAATCGCTTAAATCAGCTAAGGGCTCCAAAGATGCTGGGCCTATTTTTATCAAAACTGTCTTGGAATAGAAGCCTTTACAGCATCAACCCTTCTATTTTTGACTGCAAGCTTTCCTTGCTGCAACCAAAATAGTATTTATCCACAGAAGTATTTAGAGGTTCGCATAAGTAAACATTATATCAAAAAAAAAAAAAGCAATAATCCAGTGAGACGAGGATATCCACTAGCCACAATTGCTACTCTGAGCTCCTGCACAAAAGGAAAAAAATCTAAATTAAATAAATAAAAGGTAAAGGAATCCCTGAGGATTTTACTCAGTTAGTCATTGCCGACTTTAGCGGGGTGATGCTCATCTCCATTTCAGGGCCATTGAGATAGCGCTGTCCGAAGACCTTTCTGCGGTCATGTGGCCAGCATGACATCAACGGAGCATGGTTACCTTCCCACCATAGTGATACCTATTTATCTACTCGCATTTGCATGCTTTCGAACTGCTACTTCGGCAGGAGCTGGGGTGAGGATGGGAGCTCACCCGTCACGTGGCGTTTGGGTCTCAAACCTGGGCTGCTGGCTTTCCTGCCAACAACCCAGCATGTTATCCACTGAGTCACCGTCCACCCCTAAATTAAATAAATACAGATGCATAAATGTTTGTGATGAGTTTTGCAAAGAGACAGTGCAAAAGCATTTTAGAAATTAGAATTTACAGATGGCACACAACACCAGTGAGACTAGCGAAAATGCTTAAAAATACTTCAAACAATTGTTGGAAATGCAAGCAAAGGCCAGGTACTTATTACCACATCTGGTGGACATGCCCTAAAGCAAAAAGGCATTGGACTAAAATACATTTATGGTTGGAGAAGATGACTAAAAAACAAATAGACTTTAAACCAGAACTGTTTTTGTTAGGAATAATAGGAGCTAAGTATGAGAAAGATTGCAGATATCTAACACTACATGTATTAACAGCAGCAAGAATTGTATTTGCCCAATATTGGAAAAATGAAAACTTACCAACTGAAGGAGTACTAATTAAGAAAATTTTAGAGTGTGCAAAAATGGATAGATTGACTTTAGAGATTAAAGAGAAAGAAGACTGAGTCTACTTTAGAACATGGGATAACTTTTATGAATGGCTAGAAAAACGAGTCAGAGAGAAAGGAATGTGACCTGTAATTCTGAATATATATTAGTAAGAAGAAGGCTACTGAGTGATTAATTAATACTGTTTATGATAATTAACTACATCTATTATTCTTAGTTAAATACATGTACCCAGATAATATGCTGTTTGCTAAATATTGAAAATGTTACCTGGGACATTATATATATATAAAAGAAATTACCTAAACTGCAGCAGACTACAATACGGTTTTGTAGCTTCATGTAGAGGAAAATATAATCCTCACCACTGCCCTAATGCCTTTTGTACATGAGAAAATATCTGCCATAAAATTGTCGGGTGCGTTATACAGTAAAAAAAAAAAAAAAGCAGTAGCAGGATATTTCTACTGATGTTTGTTTTTCTGCAGCAAGAGATAAATCCGAACGGGCTTTTGGGATGGCCTTTCTGAAGCTGATGAATGTAGATGGTACCACTCTGCAGGATGGCAGGCATAATTTATTAGTCTACAAGGTATGGTTCTATTTGTTTATTTACTGGCTTACTTATTTTAGAAGATCTTGATTCTTTGATCCATTCAAACCTCATTCTGAGAGACAGGCTGCCTACAAAATAGCCAGCACCTGGGCTGCTGATACCCTATCCATTTAAGACCTCTTCCTAGACAGCCCAGCTATCCATTTAAGACCTCTTCCTAGACAGCCCAGCAAAGTGTGGTTATAAAAACTGAGCAGGGAGACAGCTGGGTATGGCAGTGTTGTTGTGATGGTGTTAGCGTTTGGGAGAGTGGGAAGGAGGTGTGTATGTGTTCATAAAATAGCTTGAAGCAGCCTAACAGAAGATAGAAAGACAAACTAATCTCCAACAGTAGGATTCATAAGAAGTAGTAGTTGGAGGAGTAACTGGTGGTGTAGTAATAATGAGAAAGAGTGGAGTAGTGAACAGTATGTACTCGTCTTGAGTACCTGTGTGTGTTTGTTGTGTAAGGACCCATGTGTTGGTTCTCTTGCGTTTCGGAGCCCACGGATTGGGTATATGTAAAAGAAACCATGACACTCTTTCTTACATTCATCTGCCTTAGAACGAACAGTTGATGCTGGATTATTAATGATTAATACTCAATATACTGTTAATAATTAATACTGTTTTTGGTGTCCCTTGCTTCCTGTTGTCAGGGTGAGAACAAAAAAATGGAAGATGCTAAGTTTTACTTGACGCTTCCCAGCACCAAGATGGAGATAGAAGACAGAGATGTAGTTGCATCCAAGCAACACATGACCAATTTTACTCTCAATAAAGATAGTACCAAGGACAGCTTTCAGATTGCAACACTCATCTGCTCGACAAAACTGACACAGAATGGTAGGTTGAGCTGTGGGCAAATTGGAAAAGTAGTAGGCAGGTTGTGATTGGACAACTTGAACTATCCCATGAAACCACTGATCATAAAATTGGGTGTAGCCAGTGCTCGGTGTATTTTCTGTAATTCTGGCCATACGACTTTCGAAGCAGTGATCACCACTGCACCTTGTGGCAGCTAATTTAATCTTTAGTGTTGTGCTGTGCAACGATCTACTTTTTGTTAGTCCAGAAGGACTAGCAATGGACTTTGTGTTAGTCCTTGAAGATTATTGAATAATCCTTGTTTAAATTATAGACACAGAGGGAAAAAGTTCCATCCCATTTTTTTCAGAAATTGTACCACCATCAGGTTGGGGGCTATGTGCAGCATTCCTAGCTTGGCCAAGATTTCCCTAATTTTGACTTTTCAGCAAGTTATAAAGCATAAGATGTTGCAAAAAGACTCTTGGAGCACTTTTTAACTTCTTTCTTATTCATACAGAGGGAGAAATCCTATGCAGTTTGTAGAATATTTGGCTATGTCTATCTTCTGAGTATATACAGAAAGTCTGTGTCACTCTTTGTCTTTTGAGACTTGACTTAACCTTCCCTGGTTACCCTCATGCCTATCTTCTCAATCTTCCAAACCTGGAAACTTGCTTGTTCTAAAACAATCCAAAGTGGTGATTTTCAGAAAAATGAATTCTCGTTCCCAGTACTAAATTGCATCTCTCTTTTCCAAAAACGCTGCTCAATACGAGAAAACAAGTTTCTTGTGGGCACTTCTTATTAAATAAGACCATTGCTGGAACTCAGATTCCTGTTCCGTATTGTGGTCTGACTTTTACTACTTTGCTTTTGACAGTTGACTTGCTAGGATTGTTGAATTGGCGTTCAAACTCTCAGAATATAGGACACAACCTGAAGAAGCTGATGGACGTGGCAGGAGGAGAAATTGTTAAGGTACAAAGGGGCCACATGGGAGCAAATCTTTGGGGTGGGTAAGTCTTTAAGGACCAAGGTCCCATTTAACATATTTTGGGAAAACAAACCAAGTACTTTCTTGGTTTGGAGGAGAAATGTAGTATTTGTTTTGGCCAAGCCCATTTTCATCCTACAAATTTATCTATATTACTAGTATCAAAACATCACATATTTTTTTAGTATCGATGTGATATTTTTCTAGTAACAATCATGACTGGAAAAAAGACAAGGAACAATACTCCCTATGCTCAAATTAATAAAATTGATAAGGAAAAAGATTGAAGAGATAAGACAAGAATTCCAGCAGGTAACTTACATCTTTTCTTTATCTTCAACTCCCTTCTTATTTCTTTTTCTAGTTTCTACAAGATACACTTGACGCGCTGTTCAGTATAATGATGGAGATGTCTGACAATGAATCCTACGATTTTCTTGTATTTGATGCATTGGTAAGTTTCCCATCTATCTGGATGCCTCTCACCATGTCTTTATTAACCAGTAGTAGTGTAGTGTAGATTCAGACATTTGGCCTAATCCCTTTCCCTATCATCCCCTAAATTAAGTGTTTGCTTTAACAAGTACTTTATTTTTAATTGATGTTTTTCATTGAGAGACAATCAAGGCCACTTCACGCCAGGTTTTTCCCTAATTTTAGGCCATTAAAACAACTTTGCCATTAAAAGGAACGCTCTGAGATTGAATTGATAGGCAGAGAGATTAAGCCAAAAGAATCTGAAGTTCATTTGTTCACATCCAATATCCCAGCCACTTCACTACACTGCCCATCTCGGTGTTTCTCACTCTCAACAACTTTTAAGATGTGTGGCCTTCAACTCCCAGAATTTCCTAGCTAACCTGGTTTAGGTTGAGAAAGATCTATTAATTTGACCCAATCTCTTTTATGCATCCTCAGATGAACAATTAGTATTAGGTGTATTTGAACCACCTATCAGTAATTTGAGGATGGATTTATGAAGGACATCACTAACAAATTAGGAACTTATACTTTCTTGAGGTACCATGTGGGGCCAATCCGTTCCACCCTCATCTGTGAAAACAAACTGATGATTTTGATTCAGAAGGACATGTTCTCTCTTTCACTCCAATCTCACAGGACTGTGAGAAATAAAAATAAATAAAATTCCCATATAAGCTGTCTGGAGAAAAGGTGGGATATAAAATATAGATGATGATAATGGTGATGATGATGATGATGATGATGATGCACAATCATGAAATTATAGTAAAAAAATGGATAAATTAAACTCTCAAAGAGTATTATTGGGAAAGAGGGATTGTTCACCACTTGTATAATGCTCACACTTGGTATTGTGCAACCACACCAACATTGTTTAGGCATGAGAACTGTGCCTCAAGACACATATTGCAACAAGTTAAGACAGCTTTCTCTTTGCACACTGGATTTCTGAGTGTTACTGTTGCTCGGGGCACCAATAGAGAATTACAGGAACCCGTAGATAATCCTGAATCCAGCTGCTTCAAGCAGTTTGGTACTGAGAGGAGTGAAACCGAAATCAAATATAGCATGCCTGCTCTGCTGGGTCCAATCATTTATGAATTTTAATTTTTTTTTCTTGTTTTAATTAGGTATTTATCATTTCCCTGATTGGAGATATCAAGTTTCAGCATTTTAATCCAGTCCTGGAAACCTACATTTATAAACACTTTAGCGCCACCTTGGCCTATGTGTAAGTATCGTGTTTCATGAATGGCGATATTTTGTACCCCAGCAAGAGTCATTTGGTGCTCACCATTCTTCCAGGCTCTTGATAAATAAGTTATAATGTTCTCACAGGTGAAGGTTCTGTTACAAATGCATTCACACTGAATGCAAAGTAATCTTACTTACGGTGAGCAAACCATTTTTGTTCAAATTCTTCTGATCCTTGTATCCCCCACTTTGAATGCCCTTTGGGATAGAAAGATAAGATAATAAATCCAAAAAGTAAAGAAGTGATGTAAGCACAAGCGTTACTTTGCAGCACCCTTGCTTCATGCCTTTTTGAAGACCTGCACCCAGTGAAAGGCGCTCCCCAAAAAGCTTGATTCTCCCTCTGGCAAATAAATATTTGTTGATGTTCTAGTTTGAGTTCCACATGGTGACTTGCCTGCGTGATGAGAAGGTTGCAGTTATTCACCTGTAATCTTATCTAGTCTTGTAGGTAAAATGGATCCAGGGCAGTGGTGGGATTCAGCCGGTTCGCACCACTTCGGTAGAACCGGTAGCTAATTTTTTGTTGCCCAGGCCCAGAATGGACTTCCGGAAGTGGCATCAACACAGAGGACCGGTTGTTCACATATTTGAATCCTACCATTGGTTTTAGTCCTGTCCTAGGAATGAAAGTCAGCTGGGTGACTTTGGTCCAGGAGACTGTGAGTTCTAGTCAGTGGGTGGGATTCAGCTGTTTCGCACCAGTTTGGCAGAACCGGTAGCTAATTTTTTGTAGCCCAGGCCCAGAATGGACTTCCGGAAGTGGCATCCTCACAGAGAATGTTGTCCACATATTTGAATCCCACCACTGATCCAGGGTAGTAGCAAGGAGGGGAGAAAAAGTAGCTAAATTCTAAACCTGAATTTATAATTTCTCTCTCTCTCTCTCTCTCTCTCTCTCTCTCTCTCTCTCTCTCTCTCTCTTTCTCTCTCATTAGAAAACTCACCAAGGTTTTGAATTTCTATGTTGGGAATGCAGATGATTCTACTAAGACAGATTTGCTTTTTGCTGCTCTGAAAGCTTTGAAGTACCTCTTTAGGTTCATAGTACAATCGAGAGCTCTTTACCTGGGGTAAGTGAGAAAACAATAACTAGACAGGCTCCATTCAACTGTTCCCTTTCAGCTAAGACAACCATTATTAATTTGAATAAAAAGGTAGAAAAGGTAACGGTTTCCTCTTTCCAGTTGTGTCTGATCGAATCGGGTATGGAGAGAAACCAGGAAAAGAAGAATCAAGATCAAAATTAGACCAGATTAACCTGAAATCTACAAAGGGGGGGTACACCCACTGCTGCACCCCCAATTCCCTTAGTGCATCCCTATGGAGAAGGCAGTTGAACTGCAGTTTGGATGTTAATAACTGCCCTATTCTAAATCCCATTCCCTCGTGTGACCCAGGCTTCAGCTTATGCAGCCTGCCCTATCCTTCCAGGTTCAGTTACGCTGAGAAACATTTAACCTCAGCTGGTAAAGGGGTTGAAGGGAATTTCAAAAGCCATGCTCTTCATACTTTCCTTACTTCCCCCCCCCCCCAGATTTTATGGCAAAAGCGAAGATGGGGATGAGTTTAACAATGCCATTCGCAAGCTATTCCTCTCCTTTAACGTCCTCATGGATAGACCACTTGAAGAAGCTGTCAAAATCAAGGTGGGTCAAAAACCATTTGTCTGAACTTATCGTGGCAGGGACAGCTCTGTTCTTGGGGAGAAGGACAAGGGGAGATGCTTCAGGCAGCAGGTTAGGATGCCTGGAAAAAGAGAACCCAAGTTTTCACCTGTTGTGAAATGACTTGGAACAGTCATTCCACTGCAGTTAAGACACATGGGTCTCTAGCCTCTTTCCAACATAGTCAGCTGTTCCATATGGAACACCTTGAAGAGATCTTCAGAGGAACACTAATGGAGCATGGCTATAGAACCTGTTTTTAGAAGCAGACACAAAGTATACAAGGCCAGTAGCCTGAGTTCCTACCCTTGATCTAATTCATTCTTAGAGCCTTCTTTATCCATGGACCTTCCCAACATGTTGGGCTTATAAGTCTCAGAATTCTTTTTTTATATATATATAACATTTTATTAGTTTTGTAAGATTACAATTCACAAGTGCTTAGTAAACAACGCGTTTTTTTACTTAACAATACATATTGAGTTCCTAATCTCTACCTCGTTTTTCCAGCCATTGGTAAAATACTTCCCATACTTGGAAATATTCTGTGTCTTCCTTTTCTTTAATCTTCAGTGTAAGTTTATCCATTTCTGCACAGTACAATACTTTCTTAATTATCTCTTTTTCCAGTACTTGCTGCTGTTAATACATGAAACATTAAATATACACTTTCTTTATCATATTTCCCTGATAGTATACCTAGTAAAAATAGTTCCGGTTTAAAATCTATAAGTTTTCTTAACATTTTTTCTAACCAAGTATGTATTTTTGCCCAAAGTTTTTTTTTTTGCTTTAGGGCATGTCCACCAAAGGTGGTAATACGTGCCTGGGTTTTGATTGCACTCCCAACAGTTACTGGACATGTTTTTAAACATTTTTGCTAATCTCAAAGGTGGTAAGTGCCATCTATAAAACAATTTATATAAATTTTCTTTATAAGCAGTTGCCATTGTCACTTTATAGTTTCTTTCCCAAAGGCTTTGCCATTTTTCTAATTCTATATTGTGCCCAAATTTTTTTGCCCATGGTATCATTGTTTCTTTTCCTTGTTCATCTTCCATTTTTAAATTTAATAAAAAATTATACAGTTTCTTAATCAAGTCTCAGAATTCTCAGTTGGCAGGACCATACTGCTGGAAGTTGTGAGGGTTGAGGTTTCAACTTATTTGAGGACACCAGGTTCAGAAAAACAGGTCCAGGGTTTTAGAGCACAGGAACTTTTGAGTTCATAGAATTCTCATCTGGGTCCATGTGGTAGAAAAGTTCACACATGTAGAGAATCTTCTGTTAAGATCTTTAGAATGAAGAGTCAATTTTAATTTGCCTTCTTTTTACCTGTTCCAGGGTGCTGCCTTGAAGTATTTGCCAAACATTATTAATGATGTCAAACTAGTCTTTGATCCAGTGGAACTGAGGTACCATATTTCTCACCCTTTATCGATGACAAGTAGATATCAAATTAAATGAGTTGCTGCAAAAAGCTCACAATAATGGTTGCACCGTATTGCATTTTTCTTTTCTGATTGGAGGGGAATGGCACAAAGTTTTGGAAATGGGAAAATAAGATTAACGCATGACATTTGGTTAAGGAATCCCTATGAACAAGGGGCATCCATGGGGAGAGGGGACAAAGAGAAACAAATGACAAATGCACCATGACATCATGGTGCAAATGATACAACTTACATACTTTGGCCCACCAAATAAGAAGAGAGGACTCTTTGGATAAGACCCTGGGAAAGATTAAAGGCAAAAGGAGAAGGGGATGGCAGAAGATGAGATGGTTAAATAGTGTCATCAACACAATGAACATGAATTTGGGCAAGAGCTGGGAGACAGTGGAGGACAGGGGACCTAGTGTGCTATAGTCCATGAGGTCGCTAAGAGTCAGACTTGACTTAGTGACTGAACAACAACAACCTATTTACATCAGATATCATGACATCATTACATAATTCCACCATTTGTGTGACAATACCATGATGCATATGTTATTCCATTACATTACCCTGGAAAGTTATTTTACAGGCGTGTCGGGGCTGCTCTCTAAAACTATAGACTAAACCAGTTAATTCCAAAATATTAATGGAATAAAGTATTCTTTCTACCCCTTTTCCCTGAATCTATTTCAGTGTCCTTTTTAGCAAATTTATTCAAAGCATCCCCGATAATCAGCTTGTCCGTCAGAAGCTCAATTGTATGACCAAGATTGTGGACAGTGACCTCTTTCGTCAGTCTGGTGAGTTAGGTCTTGTTCTCTTTTTCCTCTTTCTCTCTCGTTCTCATTTTCAGTGTTCCAATGGTGTACTGAACCCGCAAAATGCCAATTGCTCTACAAAACTCAGTGGAGCAAGCTCATGTCATAATGGCATCTTCTACCATGGGTCCTAGATAAGCCAGTGTAGGCAGCTGGAGTCTTTGGAGCCCCTGACTGACAGTTGAAGATTGCACTCTTTCCTTGTCTGTTTACCCGGCATTCTAAGTGGTGTAAGTGAAGGAGTAAATATAGTTTTCCATATCATAAGGATGTTCAGAATTATAACTCTGTACCTTTTGGAGATCTACGTTTTCCCACTATTCCTGAATTATGGGCAAAATGTTGATTCTGTTTTTGGAGTTGTTGTTGTTTTAAAATGGAAATCAATACATGAGTCATTTCAAGCACAGTCAGATGTGTTGACTCGTTTCTATATTTCTTCTTCATTCTGTATCCCAGAATGCCGTGACATTCTTCTCCCCCTGCTGGTAGACCAGCTAAGTGGACAGCTGGATGATAATTCTCACAAACCGGACCATGAAGCCTGCTCACAGTTGCTTAGCAATATTCTTGAGGTACTTGATCGGAAAGAGGTGGTAAGTACCTGTTTTTTTCTTCCATCCTTCCTCAAGAGTAACAGTGTCTACAACTTCGTATAGCAGCTGCTTTGGAAATGAGAATGAACTGTTGCAAGATGGATGGATGGATGGATGGATGGATGGATGTGGTTTAATTTTAATAAAAATTGAACCAGTTTGTGCTTCTTCAGGATGTATTGCTGACTTCTAGTTTGCAGCCCTAGTCTTTTCAGCTGTATATTTTTCACATCAAAATATACATAATGTTGACATATTACTTTCCAAGGAAAAGCTAGGGCTATGTCATGAAGGGTACTTGATATTTTTAGTCTGGTGCTTTAGCAAGCAGTTTTTATCAGAAGGATAGCACAGATATAAGTGTTTTTAAAAACCCTCTCCGCCACTCCACAATTTTGACTGTCATTGCTCTTCTCTCTTTTTTTAATTTCGGCATTTACAAATAAATCAATCCCAAAAGCATAAAGCTTTCTCATATAACAGACAGTTTGGATATGATGATTTGAGGCAGGGTTTTGAACTCTGAAAATTGTACAGAACTGAAAATTGAAGGAGGACTCTGTTAAAAAATTTAGTAGCAAGGGAAAGGTTAGACAAGATGGCAAACAGATGGAATATGTTTACATATAATCATAATTACATATCTTCTCTCACTGTGTAGCTCCCTAGTCAATGCGGGGAAAAAATTCTATAGAATATTCAGAAAAGACAAAAATAACCAAAATTAAGCATAGAGTAATTTGGTCTCAATGACACCACAAGAGTTTTATAGGCTATCCTGGGAAAAAAATTGTTCTGAAGAGAATTCATCATGGAATAGAGAAAGATTTGTTTACCAAATTGGGAATGGCAAAGAAAGAGACATACAGAGAAAGGAATTTCTCCCTTGCCTTTTCAGTCTAATTACATAAAACGTGGGGGATAATCTTGCAGCCCTAGAACTTTGCCGGAACCTCTTGTGACAAGGTTGTGAAAATCCTTGTGATAAAAACCCATCTCACTTGCTTCCCATTTCTTTGGTTCCTTCAGGGTCCAACGGCAGATCACATCCAGTTGATAATGGAGCGGCTTCTGAGGCGGATAAACCGGACCGTGATTGGAATGGGAAGACAATCTACTCACATTGTGAGAGCAATTTCTTAGATTCTTCTGTGCTTGATTTATTGTCTCGTGACTTTGGGGGTACATGTCCCTTGTTTGGAGACTTCGCGTAGGAGTCCACCCATAGATTCTTCAGATGAGCTGGCACATTAGAGAGGGGTCTTTCTTCCACCCCTTGACACTTGATGGTCAATGTATCAAATGGCACAGAGGCATTGCCTTTTCCCCAGGCCTAAACATGAGGATTTTTTTTTACATAGACCAGAGATGGAAGACCTTCTTTATCTCATCTTCCATCAGTGCCTGGAGGCAACAGAAGGGAAGATAGACACCGTCATCATATTTCTGGAGGGAGCGGGACCAAAATCCTGTTTTTTTTCCTTTTGTTGAAAAAACAAAAGTTAGAAAATAGTTGTAACTTTAAAAAAAAAGAATATATTGATATATAGGGTCAGCTACTAGACCAGGGGTAGGCAACCTTGGCTCTTTTATGACTCATGGACTTCAACTCCCAGAATTCCAGAGCCAGCATGAGGGAAACTTTGGCCCCTTCATGACTCATGAACTTCAACTCCCAGAATTCCTGAGCCAGCCACGCAGAGGGGAAAGGGAGAGGTTTCCAAGCTGAGCCATGCTGACTCAAGAATTCTGGGAGTTGAAGTCCACGAGTCATAAAAGAGCCAAGGTTGCCTACCCCTGGGGTAGACAATTGTAGTTGAATATTTTATAGCTGAATATTTTGTCTCCCACCCAAGCATGTCTTTCTGTGGGCATTGAACAGTAACCTCTCAAGACTGATCATCTTATAAATCACTAAAGATCTCTGGTGGTCCACCTTGTCCCGATCCTAAATTTCAAAAGGACCAACTTGTTCCCTTTTAAGAAACCCACAAGAACAATCTTAAAGTATACATCTTCTCCAAGTCTCTTGAATGTATTTATTTAGCATATTCCATAACATGCATGGACTTACAATATATTGAAGGCTCATGAAAAGCATAACTGACAAAGGATGTTTTTTTTTCCCAATCTTGTTTCCAGGGTAGTTTTGTATCCTGCATGACAGCCATCTTAAGACAGATGGATGATTCCCATTATAATTACTACATCAGCACTTTCAAAACCAGGCAGGATCTTATTGTAAGTCTGATTGAAATTTTTATTATTAAGGTTTGCAGATCGGGCCACTGGGAGGGGGCTCAAAATCGCTCCACGGCCATGGATCCGGGCTCCGGAGGCTTGGAAAAGGCCTCCGGAGCCCGGATCAGCCATGGGGGGAGGGCGCAAAATCGTTCTGCAGCCATAGATCCGGCCAGCAGAGGCCTTTTCCAGGCCTCTGGAGCCTGAATCGGGCTGCTGGGGGTCCACAAAATCACTCTGCAGCCATACCTGTACTCCCGCTGGCAGCTTGGAACCAGTTCTTCCGTTCAAAAAAAGGTGCCGGATCGCCGTTCCGTGCGTTCTATGACAAAAAAAGCCCTGGTCTTGTTTATATGTTGGGAATGAAATGAAAGCAGAGAAGCATAGGAGAAAAAATGTTGGAGGCATGACTGAATGGAAGTAGTGCATCCCCAGGGCATGTATGAGCCATGATGAGGGGCAAATCTTATAGAAGAGCAGTTGCAGTACTCCACACCAGTCAAAAGGAGCCCTGTTGGCACAGGGGTTAGAATGCAGTACTGCAGGCTATTGGAATAGATTTATGAATCTGATGTAATCCAGATTTCCTTTGTTCCTTCAGGGGAGATACTTGGTGGCCCATTGGCAGAACACCAACTTTACATGCAGGTTCAGTTCCTAGTGCTTCTGGTTGAAAGTGATGGGATAGATTTCTTCCCCCAGTCTATTCCTATTTCAATCAGAACTTTAAGCACTGGGTGTGCTCAGTTGGGGGGGGGAGTTCTTTCTTCCTCCTTATTCTGCTCTTGGGGATACTGTGAATCTGCATTTGGCTGACTTGAGGCTTGAATAACTAAGGCCAATTTTGTAACATGGAAGAATCTGTAACCGTTGCCCAGCACAGCAGTTGGTGGAGCCTGGCATTTGTTTAACTTGCTCTTACAAAAAAAGAAGAAGTGGAATTGTGATGTTCTTTGCTATGGAGTTTTGCCAAGATGTCTTTTTTGAAGCCTCTGTATGGCATATTGGGAAGCCGGCAATGGTGAACTGTTGGGATGGGCTTCCAGAAATGCCAATTTTATATATGTGCACATATGTGGGCATGTGTGTGTGTTAGTGTGTTTAAGTAAAACTATTTGCAACCAAATCCTCGGGCCTCTCAGACTCTATAAGATATGTCTTCTGAGGTTTTCATTCTGAAATTTCCATAGCCAGGGATTGTGTTACTCAAAAGCATCTTTGGTATGGATGCTCTTACTCAAGACTGGGACGAGTTAACTTTGGAAGAGATGCCAGGAGTTGGGTTTATGCAGTCATCTTGAAAGATGCCAGTGATCTTGACCCTACCCTTTGCTGTTTGTGTGGGCTCAGATGTCAGCTCCAACCTCACACGTAGTTCTCTTGTAAGCAGCCTTTCCTAACTTCAGTAGCTACTCATATCACTCTCCGACTGGAAATCCCAAAGTTGCTTTTTCAAGAGGCAACTGGACTTTCTTTGTTTTTCTCTGGAACATGTTTCGCTTCTCATCCAAAAAGCTTCTTTAGTTCTGACTGAACTGACTGATTGGCCACCTAATGAGAAGGAAGGACTCACTGGAGAAGAGCCTAATGCTGGGAAAGATTGAGGGCAACAGAAGAAGGGGACGACAGAGAATGAGGTGGCTGGATGGAGTCACTGAAGCAGTAGGTGTGAGCTTAAATGGACTCCAGAAGATGGTAGAGGACAGGAAGGCCTGGAGGAACATTGTCCATGGGGTTGCGATGGGTCGGACACGACTTCGCAATTAACAACAACAAGTTCTGACTGAATGATAGAGAATAGAAGGATTAATATTCCTTGCAGTCATCTGGTCATTAGCATTTTTTCTGAGAGTCGTTGAGGCCACTTGGAGGTTTATCTGTGCCCTCAGGGTCACCTGAATAGTGAAAATAGGCGTGGAACCTTCTTGGAACTGCTGAAAGGACTGTGTTGTAAACAGGAATATAAAGGAATACAAATCCTTCCATTCTCCAGCATTTATCAGAACTGAAGAAGCTTCTTGGATGAGAAGCAAAATGTTTTCAAGGAAAAAAGCAAAGAAAGTCCAGTTGCCTTTTGAAAAAGCACCTTTGGGACAACCATGACTGAATGACTGAGAATCTTCATAGACACTCTTGATTGGTAAATGATGGCAGCAATGGTCCAGCACACACGGAGGGTCCTTGACTGTGAAAAGCTTGAGATACCCATACATCAGAGGATAAGCAACACGATGATAGTTTTTCTGTTCCTTCTTGCCTTTTTTTCTTCAAAAAAGAAAGAAATCTTGCATGCAAAATATGTAGCTTTGAGCATGAGGTTGATTTCCAAGTATCCAAATAAGCATTTATTCGGTGACCATAGGAATTCTTAGACCATTAAAATGTTGGAGGACCAACATAATGCTTTATTTTTGGTTTGTGTTTATCTGGAACTAAGCCTCCTTAACAGCAATGAATCAGGATAGTAAGAGAGCATATTCGGATCTAGGAAATGTGACAAGTAGCCAGCTGATCAAGTTGGGTTTTGTATGAGTCCCATCATCACAGTTATTTGGTAAATGCGCCCACAATGTATTCTGATGTGGGAGAGGGAATGAAAGATTTGAATAATAAGATCTGAAGAGTAAAGGCACATTTTGCTTTGTCTTCCCAAAGGCACAGTCTAGTAGCCATGTGAATTGATGCAGAGCCTTCTTTGGCTTCTCTTGGGAAAATGTGATGAAATATTAATCTTAATAATCAATACATTATATCTATATATAAAATAAATGGATGTCTCCCTTCTGGCCTTTGTGGTCCAGACATCGTATCTGCCTAGCAATTTGGGGTAATGTCATTAAGCTGATCGTTCTTAGCTTGATGGTGCCTCCATCTTTTCAACTAGAATTATATCATTTAAGGGATGATTTAATTATGCCTGATCCTATTTTCTTTAGCAGATAGCCATAGCTCTGTCTCCTTCTGTAGTCTTTCAGTCATGCCCAGCTATGCATCTTGCTGTACTTTTCATATGAAAATGACCTTTTATGTGGCATTCTTAGCTATAATGTCCTAGGTTGTCTTGGCTGTTCCTGCTTGATCTCATAAAGTCTTGTTTATTTGAACCTCCTTGAAAATTTGAAATGAAATCCATATAAATATCTCCTGCCATCCCAAAAAGTACACTTTAATGATAAGGCTGGCCGCCTATCCCTTGCAATAAATCCTTGAGTGTACTTAATGTATCCGTTGTAGGATTTATTTTTGCTCTGACCCTGAAAAATAGCTAGAAAATAGTACATTGGAATGGAGATCATTCTTTCAGCCTAGCTATTATACAAGGGATCTTGTCAATAAGGGAAGGTCCAAAAAATGATGACTGCTATTAAAGGTAGCCCTTGACCTATGACTGCTTACTTCTTAGTGACCTTTTGAAGTATTGATGAAGCTACCTGGTGGGTTCTTATGACCCGGAATTGAAGTTCTGATGACTGACTGCCTCCATTGTCATGTGACCGCAGTCCGGGCACTCAGCGCACAGGTTGCATTGTGACTGTTTGCAGCATCCTGTTGTCACATAGCATGATGGAGAAAAAGAGGATATTGTTTAAGGATTATTCTAAGACTATTTAGAGCAAGCTTTGAGTTCATTTTCACACGTGAAACCCAGACTAACTTTAGGCCAGCCTCTGCCGTACTGAGCATACTATCTTGGTATAAACTATCTTGGTATATTTAAAAGTAAGCATATCTTTGAGAGGAAACCTGGTTGTTGGATAGTATTTCTTATAGTTTCTTATTTTTTCTCTCTTGAGTGTAGTATTGAGGCATCAAGTGCAATCTGGTCTAAGATGAGATTCCCACTTGCCCTTTAAGTAGTAAAACTTTGGCGTTGACTCCAAAAAATAGGTTGGGCCCAACTAGAACTAAAGTCAGGTTTAATTGAGTTGTTGACACATGTATTTAAAAAGTTTCTACTTGTACCACTTTTAAGAAGAAGTTTTTATTGGCAATGCTAGGAAGTATAGGGTGGGGAACACAGGAAGCCATGGAAGATCATAGCCTGGTGATCTCTGGAAGGATTGGGAAGGCAGTTCCAAGAATTCCCAGTTAGTATAGCCAATTCTGGGAAGTAAGAGTCCAAGAACATCTGGAGAACATTATATTTGGAAGGCTGACCTATACGCTTCTCAAGGCTCATATAAATCTGGGTCACTCTCCTTCGTTCTGATTTGTTACCTTCCCCGTAGGACTTTCTGATGGAAACTTTCATCATGTTTAAAGACCTCATTGGAAAAAATGTCTATGCAAGTGACTGGATGGTGATGAATATGATGCAGAGCAGGTAAAAAGTCTTATTACTGTATCTGTAACCCAAAATATTATTTTTCTTCCAATTCTTTGTGGGGGGTTTTTCCACATTTTTAGCACAATGTATAAATCAATGGCCATTGTTTCAAGATTCTTGAAGTTTGGTCTGGATTAAAAATAAATGCGATTGAGAGAATTGCTCAGCTATTCCTAGTTGTTTTATTTCCCCACCTTTAGAAGCTTGCTAACTTGTAAATTCTCTTGACTGTGGTTGCTTAGAACCTTCTAAATCAAACCTTTCAGTTTGAGGATATAGACATGTGTATGGAAATTGGCACCATTGCTTTAAGAGCAGTAAAAATACAAATTATGCCAAAGAACTTGTGAACACACAGCAGGCACTTCCTGTGGTTTCACAGGGATAGGCTCTGCCTCTTTCCCGAGCTGATTTTTTTTTAATGGCTTTTTTTTTTTTCCCTGCACTTTTCCAGGATTTTCCTTCGAGCCATAAATCAATATGCCTCTGTGCTCAACCGTTTCTTTTTGGATCAGGCAAGCTTTGAGCTCCAGGTAAGGGAGGACATCGTCTCTCTTTGATCACATGGGGCCTGGTGGTTATCTGGGAGGTGAGTCTTTACAGTTTGCCAAATTTGTAAAACAGACATCACAGTTAATTGAAATAAGAATGCACATTTTTTTAGTAAAAAAAAAAAACCACTATCAAATTTCGAGAACATGCTTGGAGAAGTCAAGAGATAGCTGAGGGATCCTCTTTAACATTTATAAGGCATCAGAAATCATGGTAGATGGGGGGCCATATAACATGTCAAGTTTTCTTCTCCCTTAAATGCTGAAACACTTAAGGCATTCCTTTGTCTCTTAGCTGCAGTGCATTGAAATCTTATTCTACACATAGACCTTGACTTACAATCTTAATGGAATTTCCCCATTGTAGTGATAAGTCATGAAAGTCATCAATCAGATCACTCACGTGACTGATCTTTTTTTGCAGCAGCAGTTGTTAAGCATTAAAATGAATCAATGGTTTGTTATGGGCCGGTTTTGCCAAAATGCCCATTTTTTTTGGCAAAACCACCACAAAATGTGGTCATTTGACCACGGGACACTGCAAACAGCTGTAAATGCAGGCTGATGGCCGAGCATTCAGTGTGCAGACACATGACCACATTGGGAGGGGTGGCATCAGAAACTTTGGAACCTCGTTGTAAGTACCCCCCAAGTGTGGTTTGTTGTAACTTTGAATAGTCTCTAAGTGACTGGTCATAAGTTGAAGACTACCTATAGAGCAGAGGTCCCCAACCTTTTGGGCACCAGGGACCGGTTCCGTGGAGAAAAGTTTTTCCACGGACCCGAGAGTGTGTGGGTTTGTGTGCTGCCTGCATCCCACGGATGGGGATTTGCTTGTTTGTGCAGACCGGTTGCTGGCATGCCGTGGCCCGGAACCAGTCCATGGACCAGGGGTTGGGGACCCCTGCTATAGAGCATCTGGGTAGTTCTCACCTCATATTAACAGTTGCATTATGATGACAGTGATTGGAGAGAGAAAAATGTTTCAGAAGATTCCATAAAACACTTGGATTTCAGATTGCTTATCTCTGATTTAGGCCAATGCAGATTGTGTCAAGATCATCCTTATATGCTTCAAGGCGTAGTGAATAATTAAAACCCTAGTGTAGGAGAAGGAGAAGCAGAGCCTAAAGTTCTTAGGTTCCCATAAGCGGTTTAAGTCCAACCCCTCTTGAATTTTGTTAATTCTTATCTAGCACCAATTTAATACTGACCGTTAGTCGATTACATCCTTGTGTATAGGCATGAGCAATATATCAGCTTAACTGGAACTTAACAAGTGCTCCTGTTTCTTCCTGCATGACACCTGGTTGTCAAATTCAGTGTTTTTTCTCCTAGGATACCTTGCCCCTCCAATAATTGTAAAAGCAGAGAAGTAGATACCTAATACCTGGGTTGATGGACATATCGCATGAAACTATAATTTGTTGAATACATCATAGTTTGCTGAGTTCAACCATTGCTTAACATATTACATGAAGTCAGTCCTTAAAGATTCAGAAGCACATTTAGGTCCAGCAGTCCAAGAACTTTGCAAGTTCTTGTTGGAGCAGATGTTTTGAGAGTATAAATTTTAATGACTCTCCTATCTTACATGTCATTGTATGATTTTATCTTATTTTACGATTAGTTTGATCTGATTTCTGTCTCTCTCTCTCTCCTCCATACTCCCATAGCTATGGAATAATTACTTCCATTTGGCAGTGGCCTTTCTTACTCATGAATCCCTTCAACTGGAGACTTTCTCCCAGGCTAAACGGAACAAGATAATGAAAAAGTAAGTCTTCACCTGAATTTTTATTTTTACTTAAGTTCTCCCACCACATATAAGTAAGTATTTTAATTACTTCCATGCCATCACATTTTCCTAAATGAATGATACTGAAAAGTTTGATTGATTACTTTGTTAAATATTTACCTGTTAGATGCACATTCTGATTTTTCTCTGGGAATCAAAAGAAGTATAGGTAGTGCTCTTAGCCCCAATTTATCCCCCCAACAATGAAGCTGTGAAAGATGTTGGTCAGCAAGAGAGTAGCCACCTATAATAGTTGGTTTCCTAGTTGATTTGGAACCAGGAGATAGTTATGAATATACTGTGCCAATCTTCTCCTTTCCTATGATATGGTCTTCTCATCATATCACAGGAAATTGTTAGAAAGATCAGAAAGTCTTCACCTTAATGTACACTGAAATATATTGTCTCTATACGTATATTGGTTATTTCTTTGAATTTTCATCCTGTTCAATTCAATAAATGCTGCTAAAGAGACCTTCTGTAACATATAGTCTGTGGGAACATATAGTAGGAAGCTACTAAAGAACATGACACCTAGAAATCTGGTAGGCCTCCATAGTTAAGGGGATACTTAAACTTAAATCTTTTCAGTCCTGCTTCAACATCCTTAACAGCTACATCCCATAGGCTTCCATCCTTTGTAGGCACAGCTCTGACTTTGTGGCAATTGCCTTCAATTTTGATCAGTTATTGATGGTTTACTGACTATTCTTATTGATATGTTTTTAGGCAAATGGGATTATTATTTATCCTTGGATACCAGAGGTGGTGGTGGTGGTGGTGGTATATGTAGTGGTTTATCAGTTTTTTCATCTTGGTAAGCTACCCAGAGTCACTCATGTGATTAGTTGGCTAAATGAATCCTATAAAGAAAATAAACAAGCAAACAAATGAAGCATTAGTTACACTAACGTGAACACGTGTTTGAAAGGACATTTCAGACTTCATCCCAGAGATGATCCTTGGGGTAGCATTGGTCCAATGATTTATTTTCTTCCTGGAGATTCAAGCAAAATTATTGAACACTCCCTCTTTCTTTCTTTCTTTCTTTCTTTTTCTTTCTTTCTTTCTTTCTTTCTTTCTTTCTTTCTTTCTTTCTTTCTTTCTTTCTTTTTTTATTTCTTTCTTTCTTTCTCTTTCTTTCTTTCTTTCTTTCTTTCTTTCTTTCTTTCTTTCCTTCCTTCCTTCCTTCCTTCCTTCCTTTCTTTCTTTTTCTTTTTTTTTTCTTTTTGGTTTGTAGATATGGAGATAAGAGGAAGGAAATTGGCTTCCAGATAAGGGACATGTGGTACAACCTTGGTAAGCAATGAAGCAAATTGGGAGATCAGATTGGCTTGCAAAGTTGGGCTCTTCAGTCATTGCTTCTTGGATACAGAAAGAATGACTGGGAACATCAGTTCTTTTGTTCAGGTTCAAAAGAAGGGAACACTGATTACTACCCACAAGGAGGAGTCACTTTGACTAATAAAACGGCAGGACAAAAGGGGAAATGGAATGCATTACCCTTATTATGTGAAGGAGAAAAACATACACATATTTATCCAAAGATGCTTTTTCAAAGGCAAACTGGACTTTCTTTGATTTTCTTTGAAGACATTTCACTTCTCATCCAAGAAGCTACTTCAGTTCAGAGCTGAAGAAAAAAAATAATAACCACTCTAATAAAGTTTTTAAAAATATATGTTTTGCATGCTGTACGAAGGCATCTACTAGGAGGTCAGTACCTGTGTGAACTGAATAAGCATCCTAGTACAAAAACAGAATAATCTGGAGCAGTCTTTCCAGGTCTTTCCCAATTTAAGCAGGTCTTTAGCCTTCACCTCCCTGTAATCGCCAAAATGACCCTGGCTGAGAATTCTGTCTCCACTGTTATATTGGTATGACGGCAAATTCCTACAGAATGTTGTAGGAAACCTAGAGAAAGTAGAAGAAGGATGAAGTTACAGGTCTCTGTTGGGCTGTTTGCCGATGAAAGATTTTTTTTAAAAAATGAGCTGAACAAATGAGTTGAAAGGGATTTGTGGCTGAACAGCAGCTGCTGTGTTAGACAAAGCAGACCATCTGCTTGATCTTGACTCCGGTTTTCCCCCCTCCCCTTTTCTGTTTTCTCAGGGCCCCATAAGATTAAGTTCATCCCTTCCATGGTGGGCCCAATTCTGGAAGTGACCTTGACGCCAGAGCCTGAGTTGCGAAAAGCAACCATCCCTATCTTTTTCGACATGATGCAATGCGAATTCAACTTCAGTGGGGGCAGAAATTTCCGTATGGTACAGAATTGGCTTATAGAGCATGGGGAATGTTTGAGAACTAGTTGCAAGGCATTATGAATAAACTGATGAGACCTGCAAGGGAGGGATACCTGAAGGGGAAAACCTCGGTTTGTTCTTTAGGACAGAGCATAATTCTTTGGCATATATGAACAGACTTCAGCAGCGGGTTTGGCTAAATCGGTATCAAACCATGATTGCCTAAACTGGACCGTTCTTCAGCTTCCAATAAGACTGGTTTATCTAAAATGACTGGCTGAGATAAAAATAGGACTGATTGATCCATCTATCCTAGGGCTCCTCAAAACAATCAATATCAAGCCTCAAGGGTCAATGGGACTATCCAATGGGTCAATAAATATCTGGGGTCAGTAGATGTCTGGGGGTTAATAGATGATTGATAAATGATGAAGGGTCAGTTGGGGTCAGTTGATCTTCTTGGGTCATTTGTAGAACTTCATACCAATCTCTAGTCCTGTGTGGAAGGTGGCTAGCAGTGGGACAGTGTTACCAAGGATTGGATGGTCAGCACCAACAATGGCGGCCTTGAATTCTCTCTATTATTATTATTTGTAGTACTGTATTATTACTTAAAATATTTTCATATTCAATAGGGGGCGTCAGTGAACAATCTGAAACTTCTTGAAGGAATCGATAGGCTGAAGAGTTTGGGGACCTTTTTTTTAAAAAAAAGAAAAAAGAAATTATTTAATGGAAACCTGTTGAGTATTTTTCTTTCTTTTGGTCTTCACACTGCAGTTTGAAAATGAGCTGATCACTAAACTAGACCAAGAAGTGGAAGGCGGTCGAGGAGATGAACAGTACAAGATCTTGCTGGAGAAACTGTAAGTGTGTGAGTGTTCTTGATTATCTTCCAGGTAATGTTTTGTGATGTGTTGCTTTCTCACATTCCATTGCTCAGGGAATGTGTTAGCTTGCCAAGCATGCCATGCAAGTTTATCGGATGAGCAATAGACAAATATTCCTTTTAGTCTCGAGTGCGGACATTATTTATTAATACACACAAAGATGGATTTACATTGTAAATCTGTGCGTTGGTTGAATTTTCATATAGGTATAAGCATTAGGGCTGAAACAAAAGGTGCATTTATTTTTTTACAGTTACAGAATCATAGAATTGGATGGGGCCATTTAGAGGTCAAGCCTTCAGCCATCCAACGAGGAATTTAAACATCTATTTGAACACAACTCAGAAAAAGAGGAGCTTATCTCCTACATCAGTAACTGGTTCTATTGCCAAACAGGTTTTAGGAAGGATGTTCCATTCAGCTGGAATTAAGTACAGCATTTCATATTTACTAGCTGTGTTTGCTAGCAAACTTTAAGCTTCTAATAGCAAACCACAGTGGGTCTGTTCACAAAACATGCTATGCCGGTGCAGCTAATCCTTGACGTAGACCACAGTTAGTACGAGAATTTCCACTGCTAAGCAAGGCAGTTGTTAAATTTTTGTCACAGTTGTTAAGCAAAATCACTGCAGTTGTTTGGTGAATCATGTGGTCACTAAATGAATCTGGCTTCCCCCGTTGACTTTCCTTGTTGGAAGCTGGCAGAGAAGGCCACAAATGGTGATCCCATCACCCTAGGGTGCTGTAACCATCATAGATAAATGCCAGTTGTTAAGCACCCAAATTTTGATCATGTGAACATGGGCATGCTGCCATGCTTGTAAGAGCGAGGCTTGCTCGAACGTCACTTCCTTCAGTGCCATTGTAACTTTGAATGGTCACTAAATAAATGTCTCTAACTTGAGGATTACTTGTACATACAGTATAGTCCCATTGTAGTTTCATGTAAATGACCTGTTTTCCACAGCATGCTAAGACAGTGATGAGCAATATTTTAGCTGAGGGAAGGATTTTGTGTGAATCGGCCACTGTGTATTTTATGTGTGTGGATGGATGGATGGATGGATAGATAGATAGATAGATAGATAGATAGATAGATAGATAGAGAGAGAGAGAGAGAGAGAGAGAGAGAGAGATAGAGAGATAGATAGAGAGATAGATAGAGAGATAGAGATGGATATAGATATCGATATCGATATAGTTATAGATGTATACGTCCTTGTATTCTTATCATCTACTATGAACTCTTATACTGAGAATAGCTTAGAAATAAAATTTAAAAAACCAATCAGTAATGTTCAAAAGATTAATGCAGATGGTTAGTCACAATATTTCTCTTCCCTATAAGCTTCTTTACTTATATGTCTTTGGATCTAATCCAATACATTATTTAAAATCGGGTGCTCTTTTTTTTTTGTCTTTTCATCTGTCTCTCTGTTTTCTTTGACCCCTCTCCTCTTTTTGGATACCATCAATGGAAATGTCTGCAGCCTCCTGGAGCACTGCCGGAAGCATAAATATCTATCAAGCTCAGGCGAAATCTTTGCCCTGTTGGTTAGCAGTTTGCTTGAGAACCTTTTGGACTACCGAGCGATTATGCATGATGGCAGCAAGGAGAACCGCATGAGTTGCACTGTCAACTTACTGGTATGGGGAGAACGTAGAGCTGGGTGCAAGTTTTGGTTCCTACGAAACCATTTTAGATCCATAGACCCACTTTGGGCCTGCTGCACCAGAAGCTCAGAAACGGGTTCCACCTATTCTGTTAGCTGTTACGGGGACAATACATGTACTGATAAGTGGAAATAATGAAGTCAGGGTTATAAAAGAGCTGGCATGCTTAGAATACAAATTTTATGGGGTTTAACAAGCCTGGGGTGATGTCCGAACTGGATCAAAAGTTGTACATGTTTTACATCCTATTGCTGAAACCATTTGGTTATTCCCAAACTTGTTTTTCTTTTTGCAGAATTTTTATAAGGAAAAGAAAAGAGAAGACATATACATCAGGTAAACATCAGCAGATCTTCAGACTTCCGAATAGGCTGTCACAAAACACTATAGTACTTCCGCATCTCATATACTGTTGTTTTCTAGGTACTTATATAAGCTTCGAGATTTGCATACTGATTCTGAAAGCTACACTGAGGCAGCCTACACACTCCTGCTTCATGCAGAGTTACTTCAGGTAAGTGTGGGAAGTCTTGAAGACTAGGTCCCATGTACAACACGTAGCAGTAGTCAGATTTGAATTTTGTTAAGGCAGCGTTTTTCAACCTTGTCAAGTTTTAAGATGTGTGGACTTTAACTCCCAGGACTTCCTAGCCAGTTCTGAGAGTTGAAATTCATACATCTTAAACCTGACAAGGCTGAGAAACCCTGGGTTAAGGTATGGCTAGGCCAGGGGTAGGCAACCTCGGCTCTTTTATGACTCATGGACTTCAACTCCCAGAATTCCCGAGTCAGCCATGCTGACTCGGGAATTCTGGGAGTTGAAGTCCATGAGTCATAAAAGACCTGAGGTTGCCTACCCCTGGGCTAGGCTATATCTATACAGCAGATGAAATCAGATTGTGCATAAAACAGCCCAGACAAAATTGTTGTTATTTTTTAAAAAAAAATCTTGTTTCATTTCTCCAGTGCTCCTGGAGAATCCCAAACAAGGATGGGATCAAAAGCAATTCAGATTGCTACACTGAAGCTCATCAAGGATGGAAACCTGTCCAAAACAAGTGGAATCTTGCCTCTTTGGCCAAACACCCACCTATCAAAAAATACCTCAACTTGTCTAGGTTGTTATTATGTTTTCAAATTATCATTCACATGCTGCTGAGATGGATGTTCAAAACGTCAGCAGCGACTAAGGCAGTGATGGCGAACCTTTTAGAGGCCGAGTGCCCAAACTGCAACCCAAAACCCACTTATGTATCGTCGGGTGCTGGGTGGGCGTGGCCCATTGAGTGGGCGTGGCAGCGGTGGTAATGGCAGACTGGGTGGGACTAAAAAGTTCAATCAATCAATTCCAACTTTGCGAGATCTTTTTTTTCCCCCACGAGAAGTTGAAATTGATTGATTGAACCTTTTTTTTTTGCACACGGCGGCGGAGGCCTAAAGCGAAAAGGTTTTATAAAACTCAGCTGAAGGCCTAGGACTGGGGTGACGGCGCAGCTGCCCACAGAGAGAGCTCTGCGCGCCACCTGTGGCACCCGTGCCATAGGTTCACCACTGGACTAAGGCATTAACTGTGGAAGATAAAGGAGATTACTCTGTTCTTCATCTATCAGAAGAACACTTTCTGATTCCTCAGGTCCTTAAGTCTCTTTCAGAAGAAGAGCTAGAGCAAAATTGCATATGATGTCCTTAATCCCATCTGGTCTTTCTTTTATCCCAGTGGTCTGACCAGCCATGTGCTCAGCATCTGCTTCAGAGGGACAGCTATTACGTCTACACACAACAGGAACTCAAGGAGAAGCTTTACCAAGAAATCATCGTCTTCTTCGACAGAGGCAAAGTGAGTCTGTCACAGGCACCCTCACCCTTGATAGGAATGGGATGCTGTGTTATTTACTACTGGTCTTGCTGGAATTTCAAACTAATAGGATGGTCTCTCTTAATCACTTGTTTTCACAATTACTTATTGATAACAATGTGTATCATCAAGTCGTAGTCAACTCCTACTGACCACATAGGTTTTGTCTATGATGATCTCTCCCTAACCTGGTCCTTCAGCTCTTCCAGCAGTTGCTCTGGTAAACTGAGTCTTTCCATCTTTGCTCTGGTTGTCCTCTTCTCTTTCCTTCAATCTTTCCCAGCATCAGAGCCTTCTCCAGAGAGCTAGGAATTGCAGACATGCCTTCGTCTTTTTTTTAAAAAAAAAATCCACGAAGGCCTTTCTGATCCTACCACTGGGGCAGTCTCCTGTTATTTTGAAATGGAAAAAAAAAAGTTCTTTACTCTTGACAAGATAAAGCGGTATATTTTTTACAATTTAAAATACGGAATACCTATGATGCATGCGAAGGACTAGGAAAACATGAAAGTCCTGAACTTATTCTGATGTATATGCCATCCACACAAAGGCTTCAGCTCAATGTACGTGGCCATCCATGAACGCAAAGATGGAACATGCAAGACTCACTGGAAAAATGAAGGGAGGGCAGTTCCAGCACTTAGAACCCACCAGAATGAATTTGGAAGATCACAAATGGTATTTAAAGTAGAAGTAGAAGATCACAAATAATATTGAGTAGCCATACGGAATATGCTTTAATCCATCCCTTTTCATGAAGGAATGATCTGTTTTATCTCTTTTTCCTTTTAACTTCTGGAAGATGTGGGAGAAGGCCATCCAGCTAAGCAAAGAATTGGCTGACATGTATGAGAACAAAGTCTTTGATTATGAGAGCCTTGGAAATCTCTTGGTAAGAGAAGGGGGTCTTTAATTGTCTACTGGGTGAGAGATACTGAGAGGAATTGCCAATAGTATGGGTCCCAAAGGCGTTTCTTATGTTCCTGGTTGAAAGACAAGAAATACATTAGAAGCTTGGGATGGCAGTAGTGCAAATGGGTGTTTAGGGTAAAGAAACGTAAAAACAAAATAATTTAAAACACTGCCCAATCTACTCTTCTTCTTTTTAACAGAAAAAGCGGGCCACGTTCTATGAGAACATCATGAAAGCAATGAGGCCTCAACCAGAATATTTTGCTGTTGGGTATTTTGGCCATGGATTTCCTTCCTTCCTTCGGGTAAGGATGCTAAGAGGATCTCAATGATGGTCCTGAATAACCCTGGGATGTAGCCTACAATCCTGTAATTATGACTAGCTCCCATCTTTAATCCAAATTGACAGAAGAATGTTTGATTTGGGGTAATCCAAAGCTTCACCTCTGAATAAGCAGCACTACCTGTGTATACATTTGAACAATTGGAAATGTTGAGAATCTGTTTTAAACTCAAGCCACCCCAAACCAGTTTCATCCACACACACCTCCATTGCTTGAGGGGCCCGCTCTGTTTTCCTATTCTCCCCAATACTGAGAATGTTGTGGTTCTCCCAATTTAATTTGTAATACTTGCCTCTTTTAGAACAAGATGTTCATCTACCGTGGAAAGGAATATGAAAGGAGGGAGGACTTCATTGTCAAACTGCTCACCCAGTTTCCAAATGCTGAGAAAATGAGCAGCACCGTCCCACCAACGGAAGATGTCAAAGCTTCTCTTAAGCAATGTATCTTTTGGGAAGGAATATAGGAACTAACTAAATAACAAAGCTGCTACGGAGAGTAGAAAGCTGGCAAAGTTGATGATGGGAGAGTTGATGACCATTTACCAGTCCTGGTTCACTTCTGGTCTCAGAAATGGACTATACAGTGTATTTAGCCGGTCTGTTTGCCATTGAGATCCAAATGATTTGCCTGAAGTCCAGCATAAACTAGGCATTAAAGACAGAGGTTGGATGCCTGGATCCAAAGCTAGGCATGGAAACCAACTGTAAACCAATTTTGGATTTCATTTAGGTTCCCTGCTAAGTTCTGAGAATTTGAAAAATAAGTCCAATTTCCATTTTTCTGTTGCTCAAAACAGATTAATGTCATAGATTTCATTGCTGGCCTTTCATATAACCTGCTTGTGGGTTATTAGGTTTTTTTTTTCAAATGCCTTCACTTCCCCACTCTTTTTCCATTTTCTCAAGGTTGACTATTCCTTGAGTTGTCATCTAGATTCTTTATCCTGCGCATTGGCTGATATTTCCAGATTATTTCAGGTCTCCTTCATATTCCTTGGAAAGTTAATACTGTAAGGTATCCTTATTGTAGGTACATCTGTAAATGGAGCATTAGCTCAGATTATTTCTCAACCTGGCCCAGTATTACAACCTTAATTTGGCAATGATCATTTTCAGCATATGTCTCTCTTTTCACCTATGAAAAAGAGACAAACATATCTTTCTCTTTTTAAAAAAAAAAATAGAAATACCAAGGAAAGCTTGCACACAGGACATTTCTGCATACACAATTAATGTGATCAACCATATGCTAAGTACAACCTCTCAGTCAGTATAAAGGATCTACATCAGCCCTTTCCATCTTGATCTCTTCAGATGTTCTGTATTACAACTATCCCAAATGTTCATATTGAATAAAGATATTCAACACAATTGCCAATATGTCAGGTGCCCAACCTACTTAGCTTTTGGCTGTATTCACACAAGAAGCTTAAGCCCGGTTGCCAGGGTTCTGCATTCTTGCATCACACTGAAGTAAAAACTAGCCATTAGCCTGGATTCACACAATACCATAAAACACATTCTAAAACTAACCATAGTTGAAATTTATCAAGTTTAGCATGTCTGAATGCCATCACTAGGATTATAACTTACTTGGTTTAATGCATGGAGAAAAACCATTGTGGTGATTGCAACCCTTCCCATTTAAATATTCATGTTCTTCTTAATGAGATCATAGGATCTTCTTATCCACCTTCTGGTCACCTTCTCATTCCTTTTTTCCTTAATTTGTACATGCAGACATACAGTGTTTCTTAGTTAAGCCTGTCATGAACCTTCCTCCAAGCTACAAAGACAAGCCGGTTCCAGAGCAGATTCTAAAGTAAGGATTCACTCCCAATTTATCCCTCTGCATCTAGAAACAAATTACTTAGCTAAGGGCTGCTTTTTATAAAAACCAAAATGCAGAAAGACTGACTTCTACATTCTTGGCCATGGTGGCACAGTGGTTAGAATGCAGTGTTAGAATTAGGAATTCTAACCTACGTAATTCTGCTGACTCCCAGGAGTTCAATCCTGACCAGCTCAAAGTTGACTCAGCCTTCCACCCTTCCAAGGTCAGTAAAATGTGGACCCAGCTTGTTGGGGCCGATATGATGACTCTGTAAACTGCTTAGAGAGGGCTGTAAAGCACTGTGAAGTTATGTACAGTCTAAATGCTATTGCTATGTGCTAGTGCTATTGACAGCGGAAGGCATGAATAAATCTGACCCATTGAAGATAGGTCTGGTTGTTTCATAGGGATATATCTGGAACTATGATTTTGAAATGTTTAGTTGGAGCATTATACAGTATCAGATCATTTAAATACCCTGATTCTTATATGGCACTAAGCCATAGTTTAACTTTTTTGTTAAATAAAATAAGTAAAATAAGCTCCATCACTGGAGATTTTTAAGAAGAGACTGGACAGTCACTTGTCTGAAATGGTATAGGGTCTCCTGTTTGAGCAGGGGGCTGGACTAGAAGACCTCCAAGGTCCCTTCCAGTTCTATTCTATTCTATTCTATTCTACTCTACTCTACTCTAATTGAGTTCAGCCATATTTAGCCAAAATTGAACAAACCACAATAATGTAGGAAGTTGCATGAAGTATCTGTTAAGTATGCATTCATGTCTTCTACTGTTTTCAACATCCACTCGCCTGGATTGTTATAGTGCTGACATCAGACATAGATTTTGGGTGTTGGCTGAAATTTTATTTTAAGTTGTTATCATCTGCTCCTTTAGCTTTTATAGATCCAATGAAGTGCAACAGTTCCAACACTCGCGGCCTTTCAGAAAAGGAGAAAAACATCCTGAGAATGAATTTGCAGTGAGTCATTTCTTCTCTGCCGTCCTTGTCATTTTTTCCTTTATGACGTGCCATGCCATGCCGTTCAGATGTTGGCTTCTCTAGCTTGATTCTTTGGTTCCTCAATTTCGGAGGTTAAAACCCTTGCATTCTGGTGCTAAACATGTAGCAAGCAAGAGGACATAATAATCAACAATTATAGGAACCCTAAAATCTCTACTTATACAAAGTCCTTTGTCCAGGGATGGAACACAAGTCTGGGTTATTTTTGTTAGTCGGCTTGCATCTTTTGGGACCTTTAACAAAATTAAATGGTATGATAGTAAAGTGAGTGGGGAATAGATAATAATATAGCGTAACCCCCAAAACATAAATGATCACTCTAACTTCAATTTCAGAAGAATTGAGGGGTAGGGGAAACCTATTTTAAGTCATATAGGAAATGTGATCCCCTTATTCTTGGACTACAACAAGTTGTTCAGCTTGAGTTTTACTTACTATTGCTTGTGCTGACAAGCAGTTGGTCTTGAGTATTTCAAATGAAAAACATCAGAGAAACTTTAAAGTCCAACTTTTAGAACATCCTCTCTCCTAGTCCTAGTCAAGGGACAGAGGGAAGTGCTGGTATAAAATAGGTGGTCATTTCAGTATTCAAGATCAAGGCATTAGGTGGTCTAGAGTGGCTGAAAAATAGACAGGAACAATCTTTTTTCCAATGGATCTGACCTCAATAAAGCCTAGGTCTTTACATGTAGGCCACCCAACTCCTTGCTCTTCCTGATTTCAATTTATTTGGGGGGGGGTCTTTGAATCAAGTAATGAATATGAAGCTAGCTGCTGATATAAGCAGTAAGATATAAGAAGTCCAATGACTTTTTTAGACAATGTGTGGAACCCCTCAGCCCCGAGATATTTTTGGAAAAGGGAAAAAGATAAGATAGTAAGACAACATCTTTATAGACTAAGCAGTTGTTCCAGTTTCCTTCTGGATAAATATTGGGCAGATGACTGCACCCAACTTGGCATGATGAAAGCATCATCCCTTGTTCAAAATGATTGACAGTCCCTGGCCTCAAGTAAGGCTGTCATGTCAGATTAGGAGTCAAGCTAGCAAAATGGCATTCTTGCATACTGTACTCAAACAAACCATGTTATGACTTCATCCAATTACCTAGTTCCCACTACATCATGAGCCACATATTCAGTTTTAGCCTAGACTAACATGTTGTATGAATCCAGATACAAATTAGATTGCATTAGATTGCATTAGATTGATTTGAGAAAAAAAATGAGTTTTTGATTCTTGGCGCCATCATTCTGCTGAGGAAGGGCTAGGAGAGAACATTCCTTGCATAAGTATAATATAAAATGTACATATGTTTTATGTCTTTTTCCTTTTGGGGGATTTTGTCTTCTTAGACTATGTGGATAGAACGTACCACCTATACAACAGCCTATTCTTTCCCCGGAATCCTCAAATGGTTTGAAGTCAAGCAAGTCACTATGGTAAGATCTGGAGAAAATTTCATTGCCATCTCTAATTCAGCCTTCCCAACATGCTAGTCTTTGGATGTCTTGAGAATACAATACCGAGTATTTTCAGCTAATCGCCGGACTTTGTGAGCTAAGAATCTAACATTTCCGGAGATTGACAGACTAGGGAAGGCTTGATTTATTGTGACATTTTTTTCTTCTACACCTTCTCCTTAGAAAAGTCCAAGGAACCTTCACTGATTTCTTACCCACGTTCCCAAATTTAACATCTCTATGTGCCCATGAGGAAGTGCTTATGAATAAACAAGCATTCGAGGGCAGTTGGATACACAACCCCACTTTGCTTTTAGCATCAGAGTTTTTGCATTGTTCCCTTTCTGAATGAACTGTTGGGGTGATTGGTAATTAAAGGAAACAAATGTCTCCCTTTTTATTTTTCTCTACAAGTAATTCCATTATTTACTTGCAAAGTTTGCTAAGCTAGGCTTTCCTCTCACCACTCCCCCTACGTTTAATCTTTAATGCCTGTTTGGCAAATATATGGACATATCCATTTAGTAAAGTGAGATTTTCTAACTCAGAAATGGGAAACTGCTATCCTCCAATCCCACAGAGCAAGCCACAGTTATTTCTTTTATTACAGTTTATTTTAGTCCTTCCTCTAAATGTACAGTTATTTTGGTCCTTCCTCTAAATGTCTGTGTAGTATCACAATCCTTCAAGGATTTGATATGGCTTAAGGTCACCCCAGTGGGCTTTGGCTAAGCAGTAGCTTAACTTGGGTTTGTGCAGACTTAGTTTCCTTACATTGAGCACTGGAACTGCTATCCTCTTACCCTGAGTTTAAGTCTTTTATAATTGACAACTGATTCATATGTATATACTTGAAAGTGAAACTAGGATAATTTGTTAAGTTATTTCCTGAAACTGGCTGTTGACAAGAAAAGAAAAGGGGACAACACATGCCAGAGACAGGCCTTGGAAACTGATAAGTTTTCCTTTTTCAAAATATTATGAGATTTTGGTTAGTATCCCCTATGAAATTGAAGTAGTAGAGTCCCTACTTGACCTTTCAGAGTTGAGTGAATGACCAAGATCTAACTATGAACGTTGCCCAGCGAAGGGTTTGGAGTGGGGAAAGTTAGTTTTCTGTTGAAATGTTCATTGCCTCGCATTCATTATTTCATTGTAGTCTTGACCACAACTCATTTTTGTGGTGCATTCCAGGAGGAAATCAGCCCATTGGAGAATGCCATTGAAACCATGGAGCGGACAAATGAGAAGATCAGTAACTGCGTCCAACAACATGCTTGGGACCGCGCCCTGCCTGTCCATCCCCTCTCCATGCTCTTGAACGGCATTGTGGATCCAGCGGTAATGGGTGGTTATACCAACTATGAGAAGGTTGGTTGTCTCCTTGCTCTCTGTAGTAGGTCTCACACCTATCTCGGCAATGGGACAGTTGTGTGAGCTTCCTCGAAAAGGGAGGCAGAGTTCGTAGAATCAAATAGCACTTATCTAGCTACATGAATAGTACTATAGAGAACAGAGAATTTGGGAAAGAACCCTTGCAGCAGCTGCACTAAATATAAAGGCGGAAGTCAAAGGATTTGGTTTACATTCATTAAAGCATTCCTTTTCTGTAATAATAGGTGCGTTTTGGTGAGCCGTGGATCTCATTCGTTTTATAATAATAACTTAATAAACTTTAATCATACAGTAGTTGAAGTTCTGGAATTTTAATTTAGAATGAAAGGGAACAAGGAAGGGATAGACTGTATACAAAGATGAACTATAAAGAAAAAGGGCAGATACGGGAGGTCTTGTCTAACCTCCCCCTCCTCCTTTTCCCCCCCCTTTACTGAAATTTCACCAAATGTTGTCCATTCGGACGTTATATAGAGAGTGTCCCAAAGGTGCTTTTTCAAAAGGCAACTGGACTTGCTTTGTTTTTCCTTGGAGACATTTCACTTCTCATCCGAGAAACTTCTTCAGTTCTCAACTTCTTGGATGAGAAGCAAAAGTTCTCCAAGGAAAAACCAAGGAAGTCCAGTTGCCTCTTGAAAAAGCACCTTTGGGACAACCATGACCTGGATGATGGAGAACCTCCATAGACGTATACAGATAGTGATAATCTATTGTGGATTACCTCCCCGTAAGAGACATCACAATCTTTTAATGTACTTTTCAAAATAAAACTATTTTAGGGAAGAATAAGAAGTCCTGCATTTTGCCCCCCATCTTAAGTCTCCAGATACTTTTCAGGAGCACACATTACGAAGCCCACCTAATCCTCAACTCACAACCATTCATTTAGCAGCCATTTGACATTATAGTGGCACTGAAAAAGGCGACCTAAAACTGGTCCTCACGCTTATGACCATCACTCCATCCCCATGGTCACATGATCAAAATTACGACAGTTGCTGTATCTCAGGGTCACGTGATCACCATTTGCAACATTCCCAGCCAGCTTCCAATAAGCAAATCAATGGGGGAAGCTGGGTTTTTTTAATGACCATGTGATTCACTTAATAAAAGTAGTGATTTGCTTAACAATCATGACAGCAAAGGTCAGAAAACAAAGGTCAGTTCATTTAACAACTGCCATTGTTCTGTTGTTTAGCAATGGAAATTCTGATCCCAGCTGTGTTATAGGCCAAGGACTACCTGTACACATATTACATCACCAGCCTATCCAGGATCAAAGTCTTTTCCTTCTCAGGATCTCAGTTATGATTGGTGCGGCGATGCGCTCAACCAAATGTGCTTCCAGAGAACAGGACTTTTATTGACCTTTGGGTTAGAGGTGTGAAGATCTTTGCAAACCCCTGTACACATCTGGCAGTTAGGATGTGTGGAACATCTTAACGTTTGTGTCTCCCTACCACCACCCATGAGCAGGGTTTACTTCTAGCTAGAACATATTACTATCACTTCGACGCACAGCGGGTGCCTTTGGAGAGGAAAGCTTTGTGATACAGGCAGCCAGCAAATGCTCCAATTGTGGTGTGGAGGAAGGATCCATTTTCAGCCCGAGAAATATTTTGAGCTCCCACTTGTCTCTATTTTTGGTGCTAAAGTTAGATTTGCAAAAATGGAAAAGCTGTCACGGCTTCCAAATGGGGTTGCCACATCTGAAAGCTATCAGCCTTTTTAAAATTTTTATTTTTGCTCACTTTTTCCTCTCCCTGATTCTCCTTGGGTAGGGAGTTGGGCTTTTGTGGGCACTTCATAATAATCATCTAAATCTTTCTTTCACATTAAAAACCAGAAATCAATGTCCTGCACAAATCATTTGGCTTCCCTTGTTTGGGTATGTGGTTTTCTGATGAGGCTCAGTGCTTCTGATTCCAGCTGATGGAATGTTGTGGGTTTTATCCTATTGCCACAACACTTTCTCCCCTGCTAGTTAGGGTTTTACTTATTTATTTTGAGAGAAGAAAACGGCTTCATGGTTTAGCTTTCTACTCCAAAAGGAGATAAAACTTGCTTATATGTTGTCCTCTGCTGTTGTATACTTCTGAGTAGGACTGGAAAATAGGTGATCTTCCAGATGTTCTTAGATTATCCCCAGTATGCCCATTGATGGGGAAAGAATAACTAAGTTGGGAGGGACCTTGGAGGCCTTCTAGTCCAACCCCCTGCTAAAGCAGGAAGCCCTATAGCAGTGGTTCTCAACCTTTTTAATGCTGCGACCCCCAACCGGTCATAGGTCGAGGACTAAACCGGTCGTAAGTCGAGGACTAAACCGGTCGTAAGTCGAGGACTAAACCGGTCGTAAGTCGAGGACTACCCAACCGGTCGTAAGTCGAGGACTTTCCCTGCCCGGGAGCGCCACGCATGCGTGGTTCCGCCCCCTGCGCCGGCCGAGGCGTAGCTGGCAAGCGGCAGAGACAGAGCAGGCCGACCACCAGCTGGCCCAACCCAAGGGAGGTAAGGCACCTGCCGGAAAAGGGGAAAAAAATGGCGGACAGCCTTGCTTGGCGACCCCCGTGAAATGGTCGATCGACCCCAAATGGGGTCGCGACCCATAGGTTGAGAACCGCTGCCCTATAGCATTTCTAGGATTAATATCAAACATCGGGGAAATCAGGAGATTCAGGCAGTTCAAATGAGTATAAAGATTTATTGCAAGCTTAAGCTCTCTACAAGAATCTGAACTACTAATGGTCAAGGGAAATTAGCAGGAGCTAAGAAAGGAATTCAAGGTGGGCTGAATTTAGATCTCTTGTGGACACACAAGGACTCTTGACTGATGACACGTTTGACCCCTCCCTCAGGCTCAGCCTGGTTATCTACAATTATAAGACTCTAGGAAAGCCAGGATTATAATTCTGCAACATTTGTAAAGCTGCACATTCCCCGTACCTTCCTTTGAGAATCAATTTTGCTCCTGTTTCTGTCTCTCTAGCCCAAGTATTATTTGTTTCTTTAATAACATTATGGAAATTGGCTTAGATGGGCCTAGTTCTTTTGGCTGCTCATCAGATGAAAGGGTATTTCTGCTGTGCTAGAACTGCCCAAGGACACCATTAAGTTGGTGGTATATTTGCCACTTTTGCATTTTTCTCACAGCTCTTCATCCTGCTCCTTTTTTCAGTCTCTCTGTGATCATAAGTTAGATTAGGAAGGCAACTTCCAAGCTGAATTGTGGGACTAAACCTGAGTCAAAGGATACTGCGCTGCCTTTTTTTTTTTCTTCCATTCAATCGTGTCCAATTCTTGGAAACTATTTGGACAAGTCTCTGCAGATTTCAGTAGAGATGCTGCACTCATGTCAGGAGCACCGAGGCAAACCGAGGCTCAGTTGGGGGCTCTTTTCATGTCCCTGACAGGAGCTGGAGGGAAGGATGGGAACTCAACCCCGCCCCACAGCAGCTCTCGGGTCTCAAACACTGGCCCGCCAACCTCCTGCCCAGCATTCCAAACTCCTCAAGCCACCATGCTCCTTTTCAGGAGACATGATTCTGGAAAACTATGAATAGTTGCTGTGGTGATTCCAGTCTGGGTCCACCATATTTCCAAGAAGCAGGGTTATTTAAAAAAGAAATAATAATAATAATAATAATAATAATAATAATAATAATAATAATAATAATAATAATAATAATAATATAATAATATAATAATAATAATAATAATAATAATAATAATAATAATAATAATAATAATAATAATAATAATATGACATTTATTATGATGGTGTTCAAAAATTCCAGAAACCGAAAAGTCATGCATTGAAGGAAAATAGTGAGTAAGCATCTTGAATACAAAAAAAACAAAAAAAATGTGTTATTTCCATGGAGAGTGTGGAATGTTTGTGCATAATATTTTCTTTGGTTTTTATCAACTTTACTATGGCTGTGGCTGACTCTTTGTTTCCATTCCATGCTTCTACAAGGCAGTCAGACAGGCTACAACTAGTACTCATTATCCTCACTTTATGTCTTGTTTCTGGAGAGAACTGTTGAGTTCAGAGTATTGTGGAATGGATTAGGAATGTCAGAACCCCCAAATAGTAGTATATTATCCCATATTTCCTGAAAAAACGTAGAGCATAAGGCAATAAAAAAAAATCTTACTGATGTTTAACTACAATGTGCTGCAAGGATTAAAACTTTTCAAGGCCTAAGAACCATTATTCACTCATTCTTAGTGAGCCACAAAGAATGTGGTAAGATTTTGCATAGTATTAAAATAAAAATACACAAGATTCTAACCTGTGCCTTTAGCTTTCTTATTTAAAAACTAGTTTGTTCATAGTCGGAAGTTTTTGTAGAATCGTTATGAAGTTGGAGAGGACCACAAGAATAATCTAGTCCAACCCACAAAAACCAGTGAAATTATCCTTGAAAGATAGCTGTCCAGCCACTTCTTAAAAACTTCCAGAGATGAAGAACTTTCACCCTTCATAGATAGAGACTATTCATCATAGCTTATTCATGATAAAAGAGAAAAGGAGAGGGGAAGTGTCTTCCAATCAGCCATAATTTATTGTCTTTTCCCTTATCAATTTAGCAATCTCTGAAGCTCCATCATCTTCACCAATCGTTCCTCATTGAGGATATGTTAAACCTTTTCACTTTTGAGCACAGAGTAACCTTGCCGAAGTTATCAGATATAAAAACATACTTCCAAGAAGTTTTTCTTGCTGTCCAAATAACTTAATTTGTGGTTTTTTTTCATTATATGATCAAATATTTAGCCTATATTCTTTTTTTCCCCCAATTTCATTATCTGTAGGCCTTTTTCATTGAAAAATATATTCAAGAACACCCTGAAGATCAAGAAAAGATTGAATTACTCAAGCAACTAATTGCCCTACAGGTACCTACAGGAATGCAGATAATGTGGAATGATGTCCATAGCCTGTTTTGCAGAAGTAATATTGTCATTGTGGCATAACATTTCCCGAAGTAGCATCTTGCAGATATTGGGATTTCACCTGGCCAGGATTCCACCTACTGTTGCTGTAGCTGGGTAACAGCAAGATGACAGACAACCAGCACTGCCCATAAACAAAGCATTAGTAGTAACATTAAAATGAAGACACCCACAGTCAGTTGCTGACCAACAACTAAATCAGAAATTTGACTCATACCATGTTAAGTCCCAATGCAGTTTGTTTGGTTTTGATTTAGTGTGTGATGTTGAGTGAACCTAGCCATTATAACTTGCAAACCAGCCATAAGCCGTGGTTTAGAGCTTCTTATACTGTGGGAACTCAGCCAATTATGCTTCATTATTTAGAACACATTTTATCTTGCTAGTGGTTAAACATAACTCCCAATCAGGATGCAATTAAATAAACAAAACATGAAACCATAGATCAGGATTGTGACAAAAATGGAGTTGAGATGGCTTTGGGATTCAAGTCCATCTTCAATCATGGAAATATGGGAGTAAAAATGGATTTAGAGTCCTAAGTAAATTCACCTGAGCTGGAAAAAAAGGTGAGATTTAAGTGCACTCCCATCAACATTAACAAGACAAAACCCTTGTATGTAAACAGAGAGCAAACCCCATTCTCAGAACTGATGAGATTACCTAGTTGGGTAATGAAATGTCTGTAACAAAACAACCAAGCTCAGAGAGCACCAAGGACTCCAACTGATTTTAAGTTTACCCAAATAAGCTTAATGTACAATCTAGATATGGCTAAGCCTGGCTTGGCCTCATTGGTAAGTGAGCCTTCTTATTTCCCAAATTACATTTGAAACAACAGTGGTACCTCAGTACCCATCAGCAATTTGTTCCAGAAGATGCGCCAAATACTAAAACCATTGAGTAGTGAGAAAACCAGGAGAAAGATGAGTTCCGGGGCATGTTTTCTGCTTCAGAGTGTGTTGAATACTGAATTCAACGAGTTTTGAAGCAGTCAAATGTCTACCTCTGTGCTTCCTTAACCTTCTGATCTGGTTTGCCTCTTGCAGATGCCTTTGCTGGCTGAAGGGATTAGAATCCATGGGAAGAAACTGACCGAGCAATTGAAGCCTCTTCATGATAGGCTAACTTCTTGCTTTAAAGAGCTGAGAGAGAAAGTGGAGAAGCTCTACGGTGTGATCACCCTGGTAAACACTGCGTCTTGTTTATGAAAAGTCACTAGGAATGAGATCATTATAGCAAGGACAAGGGGATAAGCAAATCTGTGAATTTTCATTTCTCCCAGTTTCTCGTTTGGGTGAATATGCCAAGTTCTAGTTATACAAATTGATTTTTTTTAAGTTTTAAATTAAAGCATTTAATGAAATTAAATGCATATTTCTCCAAAGGTAAGCATTTCTGTATCTACGTCTAACTAATGCATGCAGTTTGTGCAAAACCGTGTCCCTAATTCAAGGCATGTTTTTATGATTTTCATTAGTTTTTGTCAAACTGCATCGCAAACGTTGAGGAACTGGGAATTTCAAATGAGAATTCTGTTTTGTTTTAAATATTGGGAGTGGCGCAAAGCTGGCAAAGATAAACCAATTACATAGTTGGCTCCCATATTTAATCCACTCACTAAAATTTTAAAGGGGAACAGCTTGGGTGCCACCACCCCTTTTTCCAAGTGAATCTCAGATGGCAATTTACTAATGATGGGATAGCTCACAAGGTCTCCTCCAGTGATTTTAGCTATCACATGAGCCTATATTGGAAAAAGCAGTTTGCCAAATAATTTGTTCCTAGGGTTTATATTGAACCTTGCTCGGCGCTAATGGCCATTTTTAATGTAGTTAGAAGACCTTCAACCAGACAGATGATTGCAAATGAGCAAAGGTACTCCTGAAACTGTGGAGGTCACCAGATCAGATCCTATTGCTCAATCAGGCTCCTTATTCCAGAGCTACATGACCACCAGGGGGTGGGGACTTAAAAAGAAATTTCAGAACTTACATCTCTTCCAAAATGGTTTGGGAAAAGAACCTCTAAAGTTTCAGAAGATGTAGATGTTCTTCTCCGGATGAACAAATACCTTGGATTTTTTTTCACAATCTTCTTTGTATTCTAACAATAGCCTTCCTCGCTGACGGAGAGAAAGCAGAGCAGGTCTGGTTCAGTGGTTTTGCCATACATTATGTCCTCCACATTGAGAAGGCTGTCAGTTACCTCTGTCACTTCTTCAGTCGGATCAACTTCATCTACATCATCTGACAGTGTTTCCTCCAGACCAGGATCTGATGGGTAAGTTGATGGGAAGGGTAGAAAGGGATCTTTGATAGAAAGGAGTCTAAGAGGGAAATGCAGGCAGGAGAATTCCTATTACCTTGAAGTATTTGACGTTTTTATTTGTTGTTTTTTTTCTAGTTTTTTTTTTTTTACACCACCGTTAAAGTTGGGTGGCTAATATAGGTAGTCCTCAACTTAACAACCACAACTGAGCCCAAAATTTCTGTTGCTAAGTGAGTTTTCCCCCATTTTACATCCTTTCTTGCCACAATTGTTAAATGAATCACTGCTCTTGTTAAATTAGTAACACAGTTGTTAAGTGAATCTGGTATCCCCCATTGATTTTGCTCGTCAGAAGGTCGCAAAAGGGGATCACGTGACCCCGGGACACTGCGGCCGTCATAGTTCCTGAGCCAGCATGGCACAGCTTGGAAACCTCTCCCTTTCCCCTCAGCATGGCTGGCTCAGGAATTCTGGGAGTTGAAGTCCACCAGTCATAAAAGAGCCAAGGTTGCCTACCCCTGGTCTAGCAGACTCACCGCTTAGAACAGGAGGGCTTAGGACAGGGGTAGACAACCCTGGCTCTTTTATGACTCGTGGACTTCAACTCCCAGAATTCCTGAGCCAGCATGGCTCAGCTTGGAAACCTCTCCCTTTCCCCTCAGCATGGCTGGCTCAGGAATTCTGGGAATTGAAGTCCACAAGTCATAAAAGAGCCAAGGTTGCCTACCCCTGCTATAGGGGATGCTGCCATGGTCGTACATATGAAAAAAGGGTCACAAGTCACTTTTTCCCAGTGCCGTTGTAACTTTGAACGGTCACTAAAGGAATGATTGTAAGTCAAGAACTGCCTACAAATTCAGCGAAACAAATAAATAATAGGAGGCCATCACGGAGAAAACGCTCGCCTGTCCGGTTACTTCACGTCTCCAGAAAACAAGAAATATTATTTTTTTCAGGCTGACCAGAAGAGACAGGGTATAATTCTTTATGACGGTATTTCTGTGTGGGCTACAGATCTATTCTTGAGCCACTGATGGAAAGGAGAAGTTCAGCCGCCTCTAGGATGGAAGAACAGCCTGCCAAAGATGACGCGGAGAACCGGGCTAATAAATTCCGTCGGAAAGACTGGAGTCTCAGTAAATCTCAGGTTATTGCAGAGAAGGAGACAGAGGCTGAGATGGCTTCCAAAACGGTAATAAATGTATCAGAGTGATGATGCATTTCTCTTGGGAAGATCTGTCATTTTCTCTTAGCCGTGCAAGCTTAATCACATCGTTGTTAAAAGAGAAGTTGGGATGGATTCAAACAGCAAAATATTTTGAGGATCACCTCAAGGGCAAGTTGTCTGTCTAGGTCTGACCTCTGTTAATTCTTCTGAGCTCTCAGTTGCAAACATAACCGTAATCCATGTTCCAAGTCTCCCTAAATTCTCTACTAATCATCCTACTGCTAAGCCCATTTACATTTTAGAGTTTGATTTGGGGTGCCATTTGAGTGGGACCGCATCTACCGTCGGTCCCAATAGCATTTGAGGGAATTATCATCAACACAAGTCGAGGCCATCAGATCGGTGAGGGCTTCCCTAAAAGATGATGGGTTTTAATACTCCTTCATATCCGTGTGTTTCACTGAAGATCTGTTTTGTTTTCCTTGTTCGTTTTGAGTTTTCTTTTCTACACAAAAGGCTTCTAAAAGTGCTTTAGTTACATTTTCAGGAAAGTAGCTGATTTACAGCCTAATGTCCAGGGTGCCATCACAAATCACTTCGGTAAAGATTTATTCCTTTTCTGCTGTACAGAATGCAACAGGAAAAGCACCCAGGCCAAAGAGCCTGCAACTGGGAGAAAGCAAACTAACTCTGCTTCACAACTCATCCCTTCAACAAGCCTCAGCACTCAGCCCACCACCCAAAACACCGAGAACTCAAAGTATGTTAAGCAACCTCCACTTCTTCCTATTCTTTTAAAGCAGGGGAGGGCAGTTAATTTTCCAAAGGGGCCATATGAGAAACTGGGGATTGTTGTGGAGGGCCAAAGCAATGTAACCTGATTTGTTGCCCTCAGACATCGTCACCTCAACCCCTCAGGCTGCTCCAAGTGGGTGACCACTGTGTAGGGGTCTTCTCACCCAGCCGATTGAAGGAGAACACAACAACTACACAGAGCCAGAGCCAGCTTAGCTTCTTCTGTCCTCTGTGGCACACTTATTTACAGTTGATTTCTAATTTCTGATTGACCTCACATGAGCCAGAGAGAGATAGCCAAAGGGCTGGATGTGGCCCCTGGGAAAATGCCCAGGTCTGTTTTAAAGTATTGGCAGGGAAGGTTAGTTCAGCCTTCACCAAATTGCCATCCTCAAGATGGGTGGAGATACCTGCCAGCTTGGAATTTCATACTACATTTTTCTTGGAATTCCCACCATTCTCCAAATTCAATGTAATTTGACAAAACTTGGTGATGGTTCGCAAAATGACAGTTCTGGGAGTTTGGTAAAAGCAGCTTCGGTCAAGTAGGAGAGGGTATACACTTCCTGTGCGATTAGATTACAATCATACTGGACATTTTAATAGATGCTTACTGCTTTAATAGATGCTTACTGCTTACAAGCAGTAAGTCTTGTAGGTATCTAAGTGCTTCTTAGAATCTATCGGGATTTATCTGGCTCAAATTCAAGCCTAGACACAGTTTCCTGAATATGTTATAAACGAAGGCTGAATGTCTCATTTTAATTGAGATGTTATAAGATGGCTTTGCTTATTTTTGGCTGAAATTTAAAGTATGAATATTTTTTTTCAGATATTTAGGGGTTTAGACATACATGTATGTGCACCCATATAGAGAGAAACACAGAGGTACACAGGTATATGCACACATTTCCAAATGTAATTTTAGAAGAAACATCCATACTAAAAAAGAAACCGAAACATGACTGGTTTATATTTTTCTGTTAATGCTAAGGCATTTCACCTCCAAGTTCACGAGAAGTTTGGGTGGGTTTCTTCATCCTATCAGAAGAAAGGGTTCTGGAGACTGCAATGGATAAAGTCCAACGTGAAAGCAAAGCCCACCGAGCCTGTCTGGTGTCATTCTGGATTGTGTTCTCCCGGGTCCCCAAGCGTGCGTTTTTCACATGTGCTTAGGTTCACTTGCTGTGCATGGATGAAGCTTCTGCGATAACAGGGGTCTGGGGAATGGCAAGTGGGATTCCAGATTGACACATCTGTTCACAATCAACCGGTAAAAGAAACAGGCATGCCTCAAAGTAGCGGTGATGCAAGCCTGCTTCTGTTAGAAACTATTTCCCCCCCTAACCATGGCCACCATCTGTCTTTCTTCTCTTCTCTACCACACCAGGTTTCCCTTCTCTGCAAGCAGATGGATTAACAACCGTTAACTTACAGAGTTCTCCTCCCCCACCGCCGCCCAAATGCAAGCCCTATGAGAATAGCAGCTCCAGAAACTCCACAGAGGTACAGAGACGACATTCGGATCCTATTACCTGAGACAGGAGCACCATTGCAAATGGGGTTTTTTTTTGTTTTGTTTTTTTTTGGTTTAAGTATTTGGTTTGTTTAATGGCTTTCTCTCTGAAGCTGCCAGAGAGAAAATGATTTTCTTTCCCTCCCTCCCAAAATGAAAGGGGGTTAAAAAAAAGACACAATGCGGGAATAATGTAAAATTCTCCTTCTTGCAGTCAGCAAAATCTGCGGCGGCTGGAGCCGTCTTTCTGATTCTGGCTGGGAAGATTCGCTTCTTTTTGTTTCTTTTAAATCTTTTGTTTGTCCATTTTATTGCATTTTATTCTAAGGTAAAAATGCAGAACAAACAAAAGTGGGGAGAAAAGAAAAAGAAAAAAGAGCAGAGAGAGGGGAAAAATAGTGATGTCTTTTGGCTTTTTTCAGTGCAGTAAAATAATATATATATATATAAGACAGTCTCAACTTTTTGCTTTACATTTCACAGCTTTTCAAGTCATCTCCATAATAACAAAACAATTCTAATCGTGAAAACTTAAAATCAGAGTTTCATATTTTATTTTATTCTTTTGCAGACTGGAACAAAAAAAAATCCAGACCGAGTGTTTTAATTAAAGAGAAGAATTTTATCTAGTTTTGTGTCTTGTTTCTTTAAATCTGGAGCTTTTGCCCAGGGGTCTTCCTCAATGCAAAGTCTGTCACAGATGTTAACAACACAAAAACCTCATTGTCACATCCCTGGAACTTGCCAGTTGCCTTGGCACTCTATCAAATGATATCACTAGTCCTGCTCTAAAAGAGATGATTGTGGGTCCCGCACTTCCCATTCTCCGTATCACTGGAGCTGGGTTTTATTTATGAGTCCAACTGTCTCTTTCTGTGTTCGCATTATTGTAGGTGGCTCCACCTCTACCCACCAGGAGAGAAGTCAAACCGCCGCCACCGCCTCCTAAAACTAGGAAATCCAGTGTCTTTTCTTTAGAGCCAGAACTACAATGAGGACTCTACATCATGTCTCCTTGCATCTGGAACTGAACGTCTGATGCTTTGTGGACATATCTTGTTCTCCAGAGCATCTCAGGATTGGCTTCTTCCGGCTGGACAGCTTCGCCCTCCATTCCTGCACAAATGTTGGGGATGTGCACAAAAACCAGCTGCTAGAAATTTTGTCAAAGCTGCTGTTTTGGCTTTCCTGGCTTCTGATTCTCCTATAGACGTCCCAAGACATATCTTCTGATCATCTGTGGCATATCAGGGCTTCTGCAAGACTAAAGAAACCAGATTCTGTCGTCCATCAGTCCTTGTTCCACCACTGATAAAACACCAGCATTGCGGAAATTCTCCCAGTGGAATCGCTCTCCTAACAGCTAAGATCTTCCTTGGTCTTGAAAGAGTTAAGCGGCACCCTGTGAAAACACACACTTGCCCCTAGAGTGGGTTTGCATGACAAATTCAAACCCACTGTGTTGCACTTGGACAATGGAGATACGGTTTCCATCAGTCTCACTGGCCAGCAGTAAGAGACCTTGGAACAGGATAAGCCTGGTATAAGAGGAAGGATCCTTTGGCCTGCTTGGCATAGGCACTCTTTGCCTATTCATTCCAAACCTGCAACAAAAACCACCCAACTTCCCAGACCTCTGTTGGAATATATGGATTTGTATGTGACAACACAGAGCACTGGACAGACCTGCAGATTCTATCATGCTGAGATATTACTTTATATCTACATGCTTTGCTTTTCCAGCGATATGAAAGTGGATAAAAAAGAAAAGAATACTGGCATCTGTCTATTCCCATAAGTTGACCAACGGTGTCCTTGAAAGGCTTATGGTCTCCTCTTCTTTCAAGTATGTGCGAACTCCTTCAAATACACCACCAATTCCTTCTTTTGCTGCACACTGTTCCAAAGTTTTGCATACAAACGGAGTGGCCTACACTACTGTACCTTTGGAGACTTGTTTAACTGAATTCTGGATGTATTTTTTTTTTGCTTGCATTAATGTGCTGAAAATACCTAAAGGTGTAATTATCCTTGGGAATTTGAAGAATGGACTGCATGTGAAAGTGCTCCACAGTTTTCCAAGCTAGAACTGATAAACCGGGACTGGATAGCAACTTAAATGTCTTATTGAAGTCTTTGCTAAAATCCAAGTGGATGTATAGCTGACCGTGGACTTCTAGATTCTTACTATATCTCCATTTTGTATGTCTTATTGTTGAATGCTGCCTCTGTGTTTACTTGTTTATAACAGAAGCTCAGGGCTCAGCCCCCATGGGACTCAAAATTATCTCAGAGATAGTTCACATAATTGGATTATGCTATCTCTGTCCATCTTAAGTTATGGATGGAGGTTATGAGCTAGGTTCATATATCACATGATGCCATGCTTTGCTTTAACAATTATTTCCAAACCTCTGTGTTTGACCACGTATGAGGTTTAGCCAAACACCAATTCACTGTATTATGGCTTAGCATGGTGCATGAACCCAGCCACAGTGTAGATATTTATTCACAGTGTAAATGCATTGCACAAGACTATTTTCTAATGGTGGGTAGTTGGGCATCCTTGCCCACAGACTATGATTTGATTGTATTGATCATTGCTGAATGGCAAGCACTTGTCCAAGTGCTTCAGAAGATGTTCATTGACATTAATCCTTATGGCTGCATCATGCCTTCAAAGTTTATAGACTGATTGTTTGTTTGTTTGTTTTTAAAAAGAATTTAGAACATCTGTGATTGGGAAAAAAAACCCAACAGCCTAAGATGCATTCCCCTGATGAAGCAGAGGGCATAGTCATTGAATTAGCAGACTACAGCTGTTGGATTTGACTCTGAATGTCAGCAGATTAACATTATAGGGCGGATCCAAACTATTTAATTGGCATACAAGAGAAAAAATGCATTTATAGAGAAATGCTTGGCTCTGTTTGTCATTCCTCAAACTTATGCACTGTCTGATCAAAGAAACCACCAGCAGAAATTTAATGCGCTCAGTGGTAAAGCTAACTTTGTTTACTGAACCCAGCATTGTAGGTGTGTGGGTGTGTGTATCCTAACAGCTTCTCAGTAATTCAGGTGTATTTGCCTTAGGCAAAACATCTAGCCAGAAAGCTGAGATTCACATTTTAATGTTGTACATAGTTCTTTTCTTCTTTAAAACCCTTTGTCTCATCTTATTAGTTCTACTTTTCTTTCGACCATCATTGCTCTCTGATCTTATTCTACTATATCTTACCATTCCAGGTTGACAAAAATTCTAGTGCATGCAGTTAAAAGATTTTCTCATTTTTATGACTAGCTCAAAGTTATTAAGCCTCTCTTGGCCAATGTTCCAGCTAGGAGCCTCACAGGCAGTGATTCAAGAATAGAGCTCTCCATGAGGTTGTTTATTGCAAGAACTAAGAAATTCCTTATTCAGGAAACTGTCAAGAGTAAGATGCAAACCCTATTTATAGTACAAGCAAGGTTCTGTGATGGCTCTGTCTCCTTTCTCCTAAAAATGCAGCCAATTGGGGGGGGGGGCACAGTCATTGAATTAAAGCTGTTGAAATTTGCTGTTTGAATATGAATGCCAAAAGATTAGCATTATTGGGTGGCTCCAAACTGTTTAATTGGCCTATATGGAGAAAAAAAAAATGTGGTCCCTTTTTTGTTGTGCAGAAAAGATATATCCAGATTATTTTTCCTTTTGGCTATAAAATGTAGGGTTCCTCTCCTTTTTCTGTAAAATGTTTATATTTCCAAAGCCATAAGATGGCAGTATTTTTTTTTTGCAGAACCTACTTCCTGTTTGAGTTGGCATCTCTTCTCTTTGCCAGTCCCTTTTCTCCAGTTTCTCTCTGAATTTGGAATAAATTCTGCCTGCCTTTTGCTGCCAGTTGGCTTTGGAAAACTCAGTCTGTGCACTGAGAAGGCTGGATGGTGGGAAATCTGTGTGGGAATATTTGAATCTCACTATGGAAAAAATAGTAGATGTTCTCAGCTTTGTACAGACTTCCACTTCCAGCTGTGCTAGTTACCAGCGAAGATCCAAATGTCTTAAAAGCTGTGGTTTTCCTCTCTGCCCATCCCAGGAAGACATGGTGAATTCTCCTGGAACAACTTTCATTCTCCTCCCTTTTAGGGTTCCTGGAAGATGATACCAGCTCCTGATTACTCCTGCCTGGAGATGAATGCTTTGTGACTTAAAACAATCTGGTTTTGGATAGTTGTCTTCTAGGATTTCTGTGGGTGAAGTCAAGTATTCTCATGAGTACAAAATAGGCAGGAGAAAATAGCTAATCTGGGTATGGCTGTCACCTCCAATTCTTTTATCCATGTTCCCTATATACCATAAGGCACCAGACCAGTGATTCTCAACCTGTGGTCTGCGGATCCCTGGGGGGACCATGATGTCATCACAGGTGGTCCATGATGGCTTGAAGAAATGTTATGATTTAAATCTTGAGTTAAGTCTTGGGGATCTGTGGCCAGGGCCACAAAAGGTATTTAAAGGGGGTCCACGGTGAAGATTCGCTGCACTAGATTAACCAAAACGATGAGCAAAATCTGGAAGGACACGTTCTCAAGCCAACGATAAAGCAGACCTGCTCAGGTTTTAAGCAGGTTATGATCTGGATAGATAACCACCTCCTAGGAACTCATGTCTGAACTTTCTAGAGGTCTAAGAGAATGTGAATAAAGTTTTAAAATATAGTTCTCCAAGGAATATCTGAAATTGATATATGCCAGCTGTGCTCAGTTTTATCCTCTTGATAGTTTAGCAACTATGGAGGAAAATAATCTCTGTGCAAGAAGCTGATTTGGGCAATGTATGACTTATAAGCCAACACTCCTTATGTATCCCAAGTCCGAGAACATAACTAAAACCTTTCTCAAATCTGGCACCCTGTAGTAGGTGCATGTTACCTCCTTGACAGCTCTATTTGTGATCTACGTTTGGCAACATAGGCAATAATTCCACACACAAGAGTTAGTGTGGAAGATTAATGGTTTTTAGGTAAGGGCTTCATTAGAGGAAAAAAATTTTCTATGATCCAAAGGGCACATCCAAAGATCTGGTCATGTTTGAAGCATGGGATCTTACATCTGGCTGATTTTATAGCACCATCACATTGCTGTGCCTATTGACTGACCATTACATTATATTGTTATTTTCAGTACGGGATTTATTGCAGCAGACTTGCCTTATTTATTTTTATAATTGTAAATGAAAATATTAAAAAAAAATGATTCTATGTTTATTTGCCTGTCTTTTTATAGGTACCCCCACACCCAAAAGATTTATTGGACAACTGCATGCACCAGCATTTCTTTTAATAAGGAGGCAACGATTGGTGAAAATAGAGTAATTTTTTAGGTGGAATATCTTTTTTTTCTTGCAGCCCATGCCAAATCTGGAAGCCGCAAATGATATATCTATCAGTTTGGGACTTGACTTTTTTTTTTTTTTAAGTTCCAACCTGGCCTTTTTAAAAAAAACCTGCTTCCTGTTATGATGTAGCTATTATGTACTAGTTGCATGAATCAAAACTATGATTCTGAAGGTTAAAATTTTAAAATAGTATTCTTCTTGTGCCATATCCGTTATCGGACGTTGGTGATCATGTTGGCAATCCTGTTTTTATCAGCAGCCGCACAAAAAAGTGCTCCTGAGTTTTGTCCAAACCAGTCCCTTAGATTTTGAAGCCACAATGTTCTTCTTCTGCCTGGACCTCGTTGGCCTTCCATCTTTCCCTGGAGGATGAAATGGAGTATGCCGTATTTTTCTGGGTGTCGCATCACATGTCCGAAATATTCTAATTTTCGTTTTTTAATTGTTTTGATGATTTCCCTTGGCTTTCCCTCAAAATTTTGTCTATTCTTGCATTTCAAAAGAACCTAGCAGTAAAGGGAGTGAATTTTTTTAAAAAAAGTAATCTAGAATTTGACTTTTAAGCAGTATTCTTAAATGCCTGAATGAACAAGAAGGTTTGAACAGAGAACAATCTATGTACAAAGTTGTCATTGTTAATACTCAAAAAAAAAAATCCACAAAGGCAACATCCTTATTAGACAACCTAATAAGCTTTTATGATTTATTAAAACCGTTCATCAACTGAGAAAAAAGAGTGGGGATTGTTGCTGAATTGACGTTCTTGATTGAGAGAAGAGCTGCAAGGAATTAAAGTGAATATTAACCAGTATGGGCTGTTTTCAAGTGGGAGAGGCTGAAAGACAGTGGCCAAAAGCTTTTGATTGTACAGCTAGCAGCCCAAATCCATATTTTCCCCATATTATATCAAACATAAAGGTTCATTGGTAGTAGAAAAATGAATACAAGTAAAACCTATGTTCTGTTGTTGCATGACCTATATCAGCAGAGATCAGAAAAACCAATCGTGTCAATGATCATGTTGAGTGATGCCATTGGCATGCCAGACTTTTGAGAGAACGGCCTATGGGTAAATAACCCAACTTTTCTTGGACTGTTCTTGAACAATCACCCATTGTTAGGATATTGCGCCTGTCTTCTAGATCAAATAAGCAATGTGATCCGCAAGCAATCATAAGCATGTTTGACTTAACAAAAATCAGCATAGGTGTGTTTACATTTCCCAAGAGAGAACTGCACTCTGTTGACAGGTAGCTTAAGGACATTTTATTTGAAGCTTAATAACACAATGGCAAACTAGATTTTTTTTCCCCTCTTGGTTTGGTTTACAGCATACTTAAGTCAGATGTTGCAGTTAATTGCTTTGCAAAGGCTCCATTCTGCTTTATTTTTCATTTTGATTTGGGTAGCTTTGGATCTTCTTTTGTCCCTTCTCTCCTTCAGTTAGACTTGCCTGAAATACACATTGATGACAATTATACATACATTCAACATTTCAAAATTATTTTAATTGAAGTACATCATTTTGAGCTTTTAATACTTTTGTTAGGTACCAGCGGTTTTCTTAGCATTGTAAAGATATTACAACTCGGTGTTGACAGATTCAAAACAGAAACAGATGCAGAAAGGAAAGAGAAAGAGCAACAGGGAAGAAAAAAGTAAATCAGGCCATAGCATTTCCTTCTCTGGCTGACATAATGTTCAGATTGGTCTGTCTTTTATCAGAATCCTTAGGAGGCAGGATCAAAAAAAAGTTAAGATTTCTTCTGAGCTTTGAAATCACCGTTTTTCACATTAGCCTCTAGTTGTCCCATCATGCTCAGTGGTTACTTTAAAGAACTTTTTAAAAAAGGTAAAGGTTTCCGCTGCCTTGTTGTGTCTGACTCTAGGGTGTGGTGTTCATGTCTGTTTCCTAGGCAAGGGAGCTAGCATTGTCCGAAGAAGCTTCCATGGTCATATGGCTGGCATGACTATATGCCGATGGTGCACAGAATTCTGTTACCTTCCCTGGTGGTACCTATTTATCTATTTGCATGCATATGAAATACTAGGTTGGCAAGAATTGGAGCAAGAACAGGAGCTTACCCCATCATGTGGTGCTTGGGTCTCAAACTGTCCACCTTCTGATCGACAAGCCCAGTATTTTAACTACTAAGCCACCACACCCTAATTTAGTCTTTGTCTTAGTTAACTTAGCTAACTTAGAACTTAGACTTAGTTTTATTTGTTTCTCCTTCTCCAAGACTAGAGGAATATTAAGCTTCAAATAAAATATCCTTAAGCTACCTGCCATGCAGATGATACCACTCTAATGGCAGAAAGTGAAGAGGAACTAAAGAGCCTCTTGATGCAGGTGAAGAAGGAGAGTGCAAAAGTTGGCTTGAAACTCAACATTAAGAAAACCAAAATCATGGCATCCGGCCTTCTCAATTCCTGGCAAATAGATGGGGAAGAAATGGAGGTAGTGACAGATTTTATTTTCCTGGGCTCCAAGATCACCTCAGATGGGGACTGCAGCCAAGAAATTAAAAGACGCTCCTGGGGAGGAAAGCTATGGCAAATCTAGACAGCATACTAAAAAGAAGAAGACATCACCCTGCCAATAAAAGTGTGTATAGTCAGAAATTCTGGGAGTTGAAGTCCACGAGTCATAAAAGAGCCAAGGTTGCCTACCCCTGTATAGTCCATCTCAATAAAGGTAGTTCTAGCCTTCCTGTGGTGGTGATTTCCTAGTCTGATCAACCAGACAGGGCTGACAATTACATTCTTACATCACTGGAACAGAAAATACTGCAAGGTTGAAAATAACATTTAAAAGAGAGCTTATCTGTACGAACACTTTTCAGTCCTCTGAGTGTGAAATGCTGGCGTGGCACATTGCATTCAAAGGGCTGCATCTCCCCAGCTTTGTCCACCTCATTTTCAATCTGCGTTGGAGAAAAAGGACTCAAATGAATCGGTCTGAAATTATGGAAAGTCAGTTTTGCGATGGAAACTTCAGAGGCTGTGCGGTGGAATCGTTTAGTGTCTTCTTCCACATTTGGAGGATAATCATTGGGACATACTCTGGTGCTCCAAGTACCTTCCAACAGTAGCATGTGGGCAACATCTCCCGTTCTGATAGAGTTTCCAAAGGAAAGCTCATAGAAGAAATCTGGTGTTTAGTTGCCCTATTCCAGAAGTTGAACTTCTCCCACAGAAATATCCCTTGATGGAAGGAACCGGTTCACATTATTAGATGCCCCCTGCAGCGATAGTTCTGTCCCTTATAAATTAATACTAGAAGCTCCCTCGACCTTCAGAGAATAGAAACATCCAATTTTATCATGCGATGGATCCAACACATCACTTAATGTGGTTCAAATATTTTTATTAGTTTATCAAAACAGAAAAATGAAAATAATGGGAAAATAGAGGAAGAGGAAAAAGTGTAGGGAAAGGGGGAAAATAAAAAAAAGCTTCTGACTCTTTGTGACATAGTAGAATAAGGTAATAGCATACAACCTTGACTTTTTATGTTTACATAATAATATATACATCGTTTCTATAACAACAAGCCTATCTAATCAGCAAAACCCAAAATCAAAGTTTCATTTTTTCCCACCTCAAGCACAAAGTCTAAAAGTGGTTCCCAAGTAGAAATAAAATTAATTGTATTATTTTCTTTAACCAAAGCAGTCAGTTAAACCATTTCTCCTAACTAACTCTATCAACCTTTGCAGCTATTTGTCCATTGTGGGAATCAAAGTATCCTTCCATTTGCATTAAGTATTCTTGCTGCTGTCCGCATATACTGTGTAACATCAACGTGCCAAATTTTTCCCCCAAGTTCTTTATCCATTAAGTCTAAAAGAAAAATATCTGGATTTATCTTTATATTCACTTTAAGAATCTTCTGTATTAAGATGTGAATGCTACTCCAATATTTCTTTGCATGGGCACATGTCCACCATAAATGACAAAACATCACATCATAATGTGATTGAAATTACCAAAAACTAACTTACCTCTTGGAAGGAGTCCCTTAGGTTTTCCACGTCTCTCTTCCCACCAGGTTGGAAGCCATATGACCAATGTTGGGCAAAGCAGGTTGATAAAGAGATGAGCAACAGGAAGAAACTTGAAATTAGCATCCTAGTCTTCTGCATTTTGTCACAATCTGGAGACCAAAAAGGAGCTCTGCTAACGCAGAAGAAATGAAATAAAGAAAAAACTTAACATGTTTCTCTGGATAGTTATTACTGAAGATACCAACATGCATTGTGCATATGCTATAGATTACCTGATTGGTGGTCAAAGATGAAAGTGGTTCCTCTGAGATCTTCTTTGGTGTGGGATAATGTGCTTCCTTGCCTTATAAATATCCCACTTCTCCATCTTTGACGCATTTGCCCCAGGCAGTCACATTCCTAACTGTCTCACGCTGACTATAATTGTGGTCTTATCTAAGTCATAATGAGAAGAAAGGATTTGGACACCCTTCCTGGAAAGCTGGTAAACACAGCTGATCTTTTCTCTTTAAAAGCCTTTCTTGAATCTGGAAGTTGAGTCATGCCAATTGGATTTCTTTTCTTTTTTTAGTTTGAAATATTTCCCTGCTTATTCAAGTAGCTCCTCCAGACTGATTCAACTTCCAAGCAACTCTACTTCGATGACCGAGAATCTTCATCAACAAACTTTCTTGAGAGATGGTATACAAACTGAGACATGCTAAATAAATCCAGGTGATTTTAGTAGTATAATGGGGAAGTCTTTTTAATGAGCAACTGGTTTGTTTCAAAAGTCTTGGCCTTTTGATCTATCTGTTCAGAAGATTGAGAAGGAATGATAGCTGCAGTGGTGCTTCCATCGTTGGGTATCAAAAATAGAACCTTTGAGTCTAGGGGTGCAGGAGAAAAACTTTCTCGGAAGCATCCTCAAAGATCATACCATATTCTTCTGTTCCTATCTTATAAATGTGTTGCATTTTTATATCTGTTGCTGGATGTATTGTATATCATACCTTTTCTCATCCCCTTTTTTATCCCTGCAGTAACCCTGGGTGGTACCTTCAGCAACACGGAGTGTGTAACTGATGGAAAGACATCTGTGAGTTTCCATGGTCAAAAATGGATTTGAATTTGATCCTTCTCAGTTTTACTCCAACACCTTAACCACCCCACCACGTTAGAT